CACTTTTAAGGGCGTGGGTATTCGTCAGGATGTTGGACTTATAATTCCTGGCTTCCGAAGGGCAGAATTTCATAACCTAGAAATCGATCGTAGGAAAATCTTACTTTTTCCAATTTAACTAACGCTGGGATTATGTCGATTTCTTGCGATCGGCGCTCGCTGGGAATTGATTGTAGGCTTTTCTTTTTGTTCTTTTTTTCTGTACAAAAGCCCGCGACCGCCGAAGACCCAGTCAATGCGATTTCCAACAGGGCGACGGAGTCACTCGGCGGAAGTAATTCCCGGGCCACTCGACGTCACGTCCAAATTTCCCGAATTTCCATTCCAATCTCTCCTACGTCAGGGCCGAAACGCGGCGTATCACTTGATTCCATGCAAAATGGACGCATTTTTCTACAATCGACGCGTTAAATCCGCTCAAATGATTCCTTGCCTCGCCACCATGAAGTAGTATCGGGTTGTCCTAAAAGTAATTCCTGGAAATTAAAAACATTTCAGGTAATTTACGTAGGTAGGAAATGTTTCCTTCACGTATGCTCGTAGTTCCCTGATTCCCCGCAAGTAGCGCTCGCGTCGCTAGATCAGCGAAAATCTGAGAACCTAGGCTCCGATTCTAGTGTCACTTTCCAACACAACCAACCATTGACATTATGTGTCAACATTACTAAAACGCAGTTTCCGTCTATATGTATGTATATATCTATGTGACGAAACCAACCTCGCGGGATTTCGATGTGTTCCAGCGTTTAAATAAAAAATCCGTGAAACATGTCCCCCCTAAATCGACCCCGAGGATCTCATAAGAACCATCAGATCATAAAAATTCCGATGGCACGATCGGTCGATCGCGATTATGAATTTCTGGTTTGTTTATACCATCTCATAGCATCCTGGATTCACCGTCGGTCCAGGACATAGGGCAAGGTCTTGGACCCGCAAGGAGGGCCCGGCGTCGGGCGCCATGTTGAAAAGTCGTGGCGTTACATCCGCGGGCCGACGTTCGATAGCGCCGCGGATCGGGCTCGGAGGTGGGGAGAAGACAGAGGATGGAAATCGCGTCGCGGTCCCCCGCCGCGCTCGCGGCGGTGTGGTAGTCACGCCGCGTAATAAATGGGCAACACGAGCGCTTATAAGGGGTAGGTAATCTAAAGCTTTGCCGGCGGCGCGGCGGGGGCCGGGTGGTGTGAGGTAAGGTATAAGGTGGGTAAGATGGCGGACAATTTGCCGCTCGACTACTCTTGCCCGCACCCGCCCGGCGATTCCTCCTCCCGCCCTATGTACCGGGGTAATAGATGTTCCTCCTCGAGAGCGACACAGAGACACCCGCCGTGTGCGCGCGGCGACGCGCGACTGCGCGCCCCTCCCCTGCACCCCGCTCGTCGGTGTGAATCGCGTGCCGCCCGCTGCGCAGCCGTGTGCGCAACGCACACTAGCGTCCCACGGCGGGCCGGGGAGTGGGGGAAGCGCTCGGCACTCCCGGGTATTTAAACGCCGCGCCGACTCCTCGGACCGCACTCGCGAGCGCCTCCTCCCCCGCGCCGACCTCCTTCTCTTAGCATTCCATCCGGCGTCTTCTCACTTAATAAAATAATTACCCCGAGTCAATTAAGCCCCCCTCCCGCAAGAACTTGACGGCGCCGCCGTTTTGCCTCATCCTGTCCTTACCGGAATATCGTGTCATAGACTACGTCTCCATCGTGCTTGAAATCCGGGATTTAGCGGGGACAAAACCAGGAAATATGAATTTCAGGCTCGATCGAAATGCTCTGGATTCGAATTTCGGTATTTATTGATACGATGGAGATGTACGATTTACTAGATACGGATCCGATAAATCCCGGATTTAGGAGTGCAATGGAGACGAGGTTAATCCTCGCCAAGGATCAATAATTACGTCTCCATCGTTTTACTTAATCCGGGATTTAGCGAAACCAGATACAATCAATCGCACGTTTCCATCGTATTAATAAGTGCACCCAGTCTTGGCGAGTTTTATCACGGTTTTTTGTCGACCTCAAGTCACGGGTTAATTTTATGAATTTTTATTTTATGTGCGGTTAATCTTAATTATTCTGACGTGAAAACTAATTTCACAAGGTTTATGGAATTATGTTATAGAGGTGGAAACGGTTCTCTTGGACCGAGTTCTGGAAACGCTGAAATGGATGCGATTGGCTCGCCAAGCTTCGGAAATAATGTAGGTATTACTTGTTCCATTAGTCAGTGCTCGATCTACTACTTCACCTAATTGTACGAATGGCCGTATAATTACGATTCAGTTGGATAAGTATGCTCCGTGGGTCTCTCGATTTCAATCGATCTTTCGCCTTGCCTCAATGCTGGCGACATCTCCCGGAATTATTACGTACTTGTACGTCGACTTCCCTGAAGGTATCTATAAAACCGACTGTTGATGCTTGAAACAAGAGTCGGTTACTAAATCGACCGTTGCGCCTCTTTCCGATATTATATGAACATTTTAGGAAAACAGCTTTTCCCCCATACTTTAAATCTAGAGACTTTACATTTTCACTCGAGAAATATAAAATCTGCTGAATGAACTCCGATGAGATGAAAGTGCGAGATGTGAGCACTCTAACCAAATATGCAAAATCTAATTGGGAGATTGCTTACTGGCAGAGTCGCACGATCGCACCCTATGCTGCCCTCTGGTTTCGTACGTCAGCCTTCACCGTTTTTTGCCCCCAAGGGCGGTGAATTGGATTTCTGGTAGGGCTCGTGCACTCGGACTAGCGGCGCCATCTACCAGTCGCCGTTGGCGGCTCACGTACTGTGATGGTAATACCATGCGGCCGTTGACGGTGGTGGCTTACCTACGCTTACCGACACCGCTCGTTTTTCATGGTAAGGGAAGAACACTCATGACGCCCTCTTTGACTTTATCCTTCTCTTACCTTATTTATTTTCATCAAATGGGGGGGAAAAAACGGTGAAAGCTAACGTACGAAACCAAAGGGTAGCCGAGGATGTGACCGCGCGACCTTGCCCGTGAGTACTTTCCCAACACATCTCTGCCAAAATAACAAGCCACGTGTCCGAGCATTCGTGGAATGGGCCTTGGGCTTGAATAACAAACCACATAAAAGGTACGACTGAATCCGATGAAATAAAAACAAAGAAATAGAAACTCAATTTGGAAACAACATTTTATTTTCCGAGTACTGGAACATACCGTACTGAAATATTATAACTAATTTCCCGAGGACGAATGCCAGCTCTCGTAGCTAGATTGTCACTGACTTTGAGTAAAGGAACTCGAGGTCTTCGTATTTAATTTTGCAAACATGGGAAGGTGAAATCTCATCTTAATTAAATTCTACTTCGCAGCTAGTTAGCGGATCGGTGTCATCCCGTAGGATGATACCGATCCCCCAGGTCCCGCCACGAGGAGGCCGCTGCGAAAGGGACCCGCCTAAGCATAGGCACCAGGTGCCGTTGACTTCCCAGCGTCCCAGGAACTCAACAGACCTGGATTCCATAACCCATACCGCACACCACTCTCATACCAAACTCATTCGTCCACACAACGCTCGCCTTAAGATATAAGAGAAGTGGCAGAGTAAATTGCCAGTTGGCATCGAATTTCGGATATAATCTGCCGGAGTGGCATTCTACCTCTAACGCGAACAATCCAGAGCTTCCACCGTCACCGGCGACTAACCCGGCCAGGCTGTCAGCTCGCGAATACGAGCTTCACTAGGCGGACTTGGCCCGACTTACAGCAGGCAGAGCCCCAGCAGGCTGCCGCCAAAGCGAAGCACCGCATCGCGGAACCGACGACCTGAGCCAGGCAGCCTTGCACGTCGTAGCTTAGCTACGACGTACTAGGTGCCGACGGAAGCTGCCGGATACACTAAGGGTACGGCATTGCCGTACCCGCAAAGAATCTACTTCGCTTAGCAAATGCAAACCCGAAATTGCTAGCTGCGTGGAAAGTTACTCGACAACGACTCGTCCGCAGTCTACAATACGCGCGCACGCAATGAGGGCTTCCAGTTTTACCTACGTTAAATTCCTACCATAGAAAAAAGAAAACAAGCTAAGTGGGACCACTCGCGCAGCTATTTGCGGACCGGTGGTTTCCAACGATGGTTGGAAAGGGAACGGGACGGAGGGGGATGTCTCCCATCCTTACGGGAGACAACCCCCTCCGTCCCGGTCTTTGTAGGGTCGCGCGGTCGCCTGCAGCGTTAACGTCTGCTTTTGCCCCGCGAATCGAGTCCCGCGAAATTAGAATTCCCTGACGTGGTTATTTTCGCAGGTTAATTTACTGTAAAGTTAAGCGTTTAAGTTAGGGTTAAGGGCATTTCTTCCCGCGGGAAAAAATGCTTTCGTCCAGCGAATCGAGTCCCGCTAAATTAGAATTTCCTGACGTGGTTATTTTCGCAGGTTAATTTACTGTAAAGTTAAGCGTTTAAGTTAGGGTTAAGGGCATTTCTTCCCGCGGGAAAAAATGCTTTCGCCCAGCGAATCGAGTCTCGCTAAATTAGAATTTCCTGACGTGGTTATTTTCACAGGTTAATTTACTGTAAAGTTAAGCGTTTAAGTTAGGGTTAAGGGCATTTCTTCCCGCGGGAAAAAATGCTTTCGCCCAGCGAATCGAGTCTCGCGAAATTAGAATTTCCTAGTGTGGTTATTTTCACAGGTTAATTTACTGTAAAATTAAGCGTTTAAGTTAGTTTTAAGGGCATTTCTTCGCGCGGGAAAAAAATTAATGAAATCCATATACCATCGGTACCATCTACCAGTCGCCGTTGGTGGCTCACGTACTGCAATGGTAATACCACCGCTCGCTTTTGATGGTAAGGGAAGAACACTCGTGGCGTCCTCTTTGACTTCACCCTTCACGTACCTTATTTATTTTATCCGCAAATGGGGGGCAAAAAACGGTGAAAGCTAACGTACGAAACCAAAGGGTAGCCGAGGACGCGATCGCGCGACCCTGCCGTGAACAATCTCCCAACTCATCTCTGTCGTCGCACTATATTAACAGATAATTTTAAAGCGAATTAACTAATCCCTCATTTTATTCTCTCCAGATATCCTTCTACAATCAACTTATTCATGGCTCAGTGAGCGACGCCATTTCCCGTCGCTTCAAAATGGCGGCGCTCATGTTTCCGGAACACATGGCTGAAATTCGGCAACGCGAATGAATTTCACTGGTGCGGCAATCATTTCATAAATGTAACGTGAGAAAATATACATAGACGCAATGGTAAGGTTAATTATTAAAGCGCGAAACGTTTCTTTGTCTGCAAACCTCGAGTTTTGTTTAACATTACTGAAAGATGAGTACAAAATATTTGTGTAGATTTAACGTAACCTGATGAATTGAATACCTAAATATTTAAACATCCCCCCTTTTCATTAAACAGAAACTTCTTTTATATGGTAGCCATTAAAAGTTCTTATTAATTTTTCAAGTAATTGTAAGTATGTGTTATTGATGTTAAAACTTAACGACATCATTTATGTTGCAGTCGAAGCTGTACGTCTTGTACGAGCATGCCGCAGGCTATGCATTGTTTAGTGTCAAGCAATTTGAAGAAGTGGGAATGCTCCTGCCGCAAGTAGAAGCATCGGTGACGGATCTGTCACGGTTTAACGGAGTCGTCAAGCTGATAGGCTTTTCGCCATTTAAAACTGCACTTTCGGCTTTAGAAAGTATTAATAGCATCTCTGAAGGCATCCTTCCGGACGATTTGAAACTATTCCTTGACTCGTCGGTCCCAAAGAATGGCAAAAAAGTAGTTTTAGGCATATCGGATCCAAAACTTGGTGCTAGCATCACTGAAGCACTCAGTCTAAAATGTGACCACACAGGAGTCGTTCCCGAGCTCGTTAGAGGGATTAGATATCATTTCCACAGCCTGGTGAAAGGATTTACAGCAAAAAGCTCCGCTGTCGCTCAATTAGGTCTTGGGCACAGCTATTCGAGAGCAAAAGTAAAGTTCAATGTCAATCGTGTCGATAACATGATTATACAGAGCATCGCTTTACTAGACCAGTTGGATAAAGACATTAACACTTTTAGCATGCGAATCCGGTATGTATTGTTTATTTATTAATTATGAAAGTGGTGTAACTTATTTTCATTTTAGTTAAAAAACTAATTTCACATTGATAATAGATTTTTTAAGTTCTTCATAACCTATGATTTCTAAATTTCTTCGATTTCCTGAATTACAGCGAATGGTATAGTTACCACTTCCCTGAGCTGGCTAAGATCGTTCCTGAGAATTACTTGTACGCCAAAGTAACGCAGCTTATAAAAAACCGAAAGGAATTGACAGATGAAAAACTGCAGGATTTGGAAGAGGTCGTCATGGACAGTGCAAAGGCAGAAGCGATATTGGCAGCATCTAAGTCTTCCATGGGGATGGATATAAGTCCTGTGGATTTGATGAACATCGAAATGTTTGCACAAAGAGTAATAGGCCTAGCTGACTACCGGAAAGAATTGGCGACGTATTTAAGAGCAAAGATGTCAGGCGTTGCTCCAAATCTAGCCACTCTAATCGGAGACCAAGTTGGAGCCAGACTTATTGCCCATGCAGGCTCGCTTACCAATTTAGCTAAATATCCTGCTTCAACGGTGCAAATATTAGGAGCAGAAAAAGCACTTTTCAGGGCGCTAAAGACGAAAGGCAACACACCGAAGTATGGTTTGCTATTTCACTCGACTTTCATTGGCCGAGCTGGCAGCAAAAACAAAGGAAGGATCTCCAGGTACTTGGCAAACAAATGCTCGATTGCCTCGAGAATAGATTGCTTCACAGAAACTCCCAATAATATCTTTGGTGAGAAGCTGCGTCAACAGGTAGAAGATCGTTTGAAGTTCTACGAGACAGGAGACATTCCCAAGAAAAATATAGAAGTCATGAAAGAAGCTGTCGATGAGAATGCTAAGATCGTAGAGCAGGTAGAATTGGAGTCTCCAAAGAAAAAGAAGAAGGATAAGAAGAGGAAGAGCGAAGTTTTACAAAATGGAAACTCCATTATAAATGGCACGCCAGAAAATGTGACGATAGAGGCGGAGGATGTGGAAGAGGCCCCGAAGAAGAAGAAAAAGAAGAAGAAATCCAAGAATTTCGATGACAAATGAGCATAAAATACCTTTTTGCTGACGGAACATTGCTTGGGTTCTGCCGAGAACCTTTCTGCCACTTTAGGGTGATAGTGAAAGTGCGGAGACTTGAAACTCTGTTATATATCACTAATTCAATTAATTGAATCCTTTTTATATAAATTATAACGGCATTATATAGAGTGGCAGGAAGTGCTCGTACTTTCACTATGAATAGGTTAACTACGCAAGTTAGTGTGTAGAATATTATTGCATAGAGTGCAGTCTACGATCATAAAACATGCAGAGCGATATGTCCTTCGGTATGAACATATCGTTTAAGGTAATTGAGTGTTACAATTGTTTAATAGTTTCGGAACAATCGTTTTCTGATAAAGTCACCACGTCGACAGTGGAGATATTTTTTACGAAGTTAACTATGACTCCCTTGTAATAGTTATGTAAACAATTTAACAGTAAGCGTGGAAGCTCGTTATTTGTAATTATTATTACATTCTGAATCGTCTGTTTATAACTTTCTAGACAAATAAGACTTCCTGTGAATTATTCATAGATTACTCATATTCATAGAACTTCCATTATCGCTCTTAATTAAATGGCTAAACTGACAAATTTTGCTTCGACCTTGCAATTAGAAAAACTACAAAACTTGACGATACTTCCCGGAAGAAGTCACTGACTAAATTGAATCCTCTGACCACATTTAACAACAAATTGACTTTTACTACTAGCAACAAATTAGACCATTTAATTTCGAGTCTTTCGATGAAACTAGTTGCAACCATTTTGCTGCATTTAAGCAAAGTATTGAAATTTCCGACGACCCTCTTCCACATTATTCTAATAAAGTAAGATAAATAAGATGAAACCTTTAAAAACGAAAAAGGCAAAAGAGACTATTGTACAAGTACAAGACAGCAAACAATGAAATATATATATATATAAACTAAGAATTTATGTTTACATTTTACACCTCCGTCACCCCATTAGTATCTGTAAGTAACCGTTAAAAAATGTTAATTAAAACCCAAATCGTACTTAAAAAAAAATGTACAGTACAATACCTATCGATCTCTGTCATTAACATTGTCAGCCATACATTATAGATGACAAATTCCTAAGCTGGCTTCGCATCGAACAAATTCCTTGTCGAGCTGCCATCGCAACTCTCCATAGACAGTTGACGAAAGAGATCTTGTAAAAAGTGAATAGTTGCGTTATAATACCAGCACCAATGAGCATTTAATAGTGACAGAAATTAAATTGCAACATAGGTATAATGTATATAAATACTTGATGCGATAATTACAATTCTTGGCTATGCTATAAACAAATATTATGCGATAATAGCTGCATGGAACGCGCGCTTCTTGGCCGACAAGACAGTCGAGGACATTTCCGTGATGTTATCTGCCAGCAGGTGAAACCGCCATTGTTAAAACCGTAATATGATACACATCTAGACGCGACAAGTCCCAACAATGACGGTGACAATTGACAATTTCGCCAAAGAAGAGACGTCGCCGTTCCAACGTCGCGTCTTGCACGAACTTTCGACTTTTTCCTTTAACAAAGAACCGCGCCTTGGAACGACGCCGCGCCTCCCTTCCACTGATAACACATCGAGAAAAACAGTATAAAAGTCAGGTAAATGCACTTCTCGATTCGGCAGAGACATTTTCGCGAGTCTCGAAGCACCGCAAATGCTTCTAACGAGTGTCCGACGAAACCTCGCGAGCGAGACCGCGTCTCTATACTTAACGAGCGCATCGCGAACCCCACCGACCCTCTTAATCCCGATTTCGGAAGTAAACCACGCGCCGTATGAAAAAACGTCTCGTACAAAAGTTGTCACGAGTAAGATCCTGAACACCTTTTGTAGAAGTCATTTTCCCAGCCGTCGCGTCGTTCGGCCGGAAATCCGCGATTACGAGCGTCCGATCGCACCTGGCCGCGCGTTCTCGTCGAAGGACGCAATGGCGCCGCTATCCTGACGCGTTAACGAAAATATCATATCATTTACACGTTTCCCCTTTACAAAGAGCATTCGTGGAAACCGCGGAATTAGAATCTGAGTCGAGAAATCCTTTGTCGAGGGGTCCGAGCGCTAGGAAGACCGACTTAGTACAATAGCGGACATGAATCCCTTCCCTGCAGATGCGGCATCGCCTGTGCAGGATGGGAAGGCATTGATGTCTCCCAGTGTACATCCAGTTCGGAGAAAAGCTACATGAACGATCAACTCTCCAGATAGTACTTTCCCATCCCCATAATCCCCACTCGTTTCTCCCCGCTTATTCAGATTGTTCCCCGTAAAAAGTCGCTCGACACCCTAAAAAGGAAGAGCCGATTCAATTTCTAGAAGAAAACCGACGTCCCGCGATCGCTGCGGGTCGTCGCGCGTTTATATACCTTGGCGTATCGAAAACCTAACCTAACCCAACATCCTCCGGCTCGCATTAAATGCATTAAACTTAGACGAAGTGGAATCGAACAACAATCGTACACTTTACAATGTTACAAATCACCCGGGCAAAGTCAATAGACAATGCCGGGGCCTTTTGGGGTGCCAAAATGAGCCCCCCTTAATCCGGCGAAGTCGCCATTTCGCGCGCCTTAAAGTTCCGATACATCTTCAAGTTCAAGAGTTCCTTTCCTCGTACTCGACATGAGAAATATCTTTTCGTTTTCCCTTTTTTTTCCCCTTAGAAAATGATCCTTTCCCTCGATTTCGCAGAAATTTCCCCTCTCGATCGGGACGCGAGTTCTTTCCTTCGCGCGCCGCCATTTTGTTACACCCTTATCGCGCGATATTTATATTTATATTAATTTTTATCAAGACATTTCAATCGTTATCATTGCAAGAGACGTATTGCTGAAATCGAATTGCCGATGAATCGCCGTTTTCAAATTGTACGCCGATTATTTAATAAAGGAAATATATGAAAATTATTGTTTTCCCATGACTGACGACTCGAGTAAAAACCTCTCGGACGAACGCAACAAAGTCCGTTAATTAATCACTAATGAACCTTCGCTCAACGTTTATCAATTAATGCCTTATCGGTAATATGTATATGTATATTTATATATATAGTTAGTGCTTAATAGCTAATAATTATCCTTTTGTTTAAGTGATCGGCACGGCGCGATCATCTCGAAAGATATGCATCCCATATTTCCGGCCGGCGAGCCTCGACAATTTGTTCCTTCCTTATTGTTTATTACTCCACCCAACGTCAACTCGCATATTTTACAACGGCTCGTCGTGCCACTTGGAAAAGAAGAGAAAAGAAATGAAAGGAAAGAACATCCTCGAACCGCCCCGGAATGTAAAAAGATTCCCCCGGCACGATAAATGGAAGAATTCAAAAAGCGCGCCATCTTTAAATTCCCAATCGTCAGTATGGGCAGTTAATTAATATACATTAACTCGAACCGCGTAAAGTTCCGACATGCGAGATTAAAACCAAAGGAAAAGAAGGAGAATCCGGGGTAATTTTTAACACATCACCCGCTTTATAAACATTTTTACGGATTCTTTTCGCATTATTCAATCCAGGCGAGATAACTCTCTACCCCCTCGAGGCCGCCCGTCAACATGGCTGATTTCCTGAATTTCTATTTCTATCTCGAACTTTGATTTCCAGTTGAACAATCGTAGGCCGTGAATGTCCAATGTTTCGAGAAGGTAGAGAATTTCCAACACCTCGATAATTGTAAATCATTTAGAAACACACGAGGGTTTTGTGCAACGGGGGAATCTCTTTTCGCATCCAAAATGGCGGCCGAGAGTCAGCTCGATAATCTAAAGTTTTCGAATATCCAGCTTGGAAAAATAATACTATCGGCGATTCTCGACGAGCACGGATTGGTATGATTAATCGACACGATGGCCTAGTTCGGTTATTCGAGCTCCCCGACGAAGAGGAATTACTTTAAGGTGTTATGAAAGTCTTCTACATATACCAGAACGTCTAAATATAAATCTTTTCTCTAAACAGGGTGCACCGAATAATTTGAAAATTTAACACGTGATTATGGGGGTCCTAACGAAGGTCTTAAAACTCGGGAAATTTCACTTTTCGAAAAGTAACTAAAAGTAAAAAGAAATTTTTACATATTGACTTTTTGGTATACATATGACACTTTCATAACGCCTTAATACCTTCGACCTCCTTTGTGCAAGTTCCTTTACCGACGGCGACTTTCGCCTTAGGAAATTAAAACATCCCTCTACTTTTTTTCATTTTTCCTTCTTCCTCTCTCTCTCTCTCGAGGAGGGCCGAGAATCTCCGTCTTCGGCACCGAGACGTCTCTTTGTACAATTATGTACAAAATCCATTAACGCGACGTTCTCACTAATTCGAATTAGCCCGCGTCGCGCAATTCGGGGTGTGTATTTTTTTTTTCTCTCTCTCTCTCAATCGCGCGAGTTTTCGGATCCATTTCTCTCTCATTCCTCGAAATTATTCCATCCACCCTGAAGGACCGAGGTCGAGGTGGGCGAAAAGTTTACCGAGTTTCACTGAAAGGCAGGGAAGAAGGTGGCGTTGCTCTGCTGCTGTGGCGACGAGTAGCCCATCGTCGACGTACCTGAAACAATGTAATAAAAATATTAATTAATAATCAACTAAAAAAAGTCCATATCTAAGGCGATACCAAAGTGGCATACCCAAAAGTTCAATCGTTCATGAAACATTTTCCGAACTGAAGATACAGAATTTTTCTTTTTTTATTTTACCACATGATTACGGAAGTCCTAACAAAGGTCTCGAAGCCCATGCATTTTCATTTTTATAGAAAAATAGAAATTATTGATTCGGTGCATGTAAGTCGGATAAAAGTGGAATAAACGATTGAAAGTTTGGAGAGGTCGATGATAATAGGGATGATTATGGAAATTGCTGAAGTAAAAAATTATGAGATTTACCCATCGGTTTAGATTGATGTTGAGGACTGTTACTGGCCAACTGGTTCATCGTAGGAGCAGGTCCTGTCTGTTTCGCTTTGCTCCCCATGATGTTGTCCAGGTCGATGTTGAGGCCCGTTCCAGCCCACGTGGAGCCAACCTGGGCACCGATTTGGTTATTCGAATTGTGGCCCTTAGGGCAGGCAGAAACCGGTGTCAGCAGATTCTGGGCCTGCGATAATCCGATTCGACCTGGATGCAACAAAAATCCGACATTCGAAATGAAAGAAAAGTGAAAGAACCTGGAAATACTCATCTAAGTAATCGTAGTGTATTTTTGCCTCGACTCCCTCTCACACTTATAAAATATATCACTGAAGTACAATTATAAAGTTAATTAATTTTCTTGCTTAATGCATAATAGAGAGACCTCTTGATTGATCGATCGATAGAAAAATAATGGAATCAGGATTTTAACAGGTCGACGAAAAGAGAGTCAATCATGGCGACGACGTTCCTGCCAACACGTTTACACTCATCGTCAGGATCCCCCTTGAAGGTGTTGCGAGTGACATCAAGAAGCCAGGCCTTGAATTCAAAGACAAGGTCCAGCATCTCCTGGGCAACGATGTCACTAGGCACGGACACAAGCACAGAAGCAGCATTCCTGATGACGGCGAGCCTGACCCTGCTCTGGCCATGGTACCGCAGGGTCCAAGCCAGCTCCAGAAGCTCCCTCCCCATCTTCGCAGCCCGAGAACAATTCCTGGCAGCTACGACAATAGTTGACAAGGTGTTTAAGAAGCTGACGAGAAGAATATTCTCCTGGTCTTCGTATCGAATCGGCACCAAGAAGCCAAAGCCACCTCTTTTGTCCAATCCAAACACTAAAGGATAAAAGAATGACGAAGCAACTTCACCAAATCTGTTCACAGAGCACTTCACTATCTTCGTCGAGCTGGCAAACCTCCTGGTATTGGAGTCGATCCTCTTCTGGACGACGTTCCTCCAGTCACTCTTCGAGTCTTCGCTGCGAAACACCTGGAAGAGGTCATCGTCATCGAAGAGGACTTCGTGGGTTCTGAAGCTGGAGCTATCGATCAGCAGAGATATCGATTTCGCTGGAGGTTTCTGCTCTTGTTTTCCAGGCGAAGAGGTCTCTTCAGGGTCTGCCTCCACCTGGACCTCGGAGAGACTCCTAGCAGCCTCTTCCAGGATCCTCAGGAAAAACACCTTCTGCCTGACAGGGTGTGAGGTCATCTCTGCGTGGAACTCCTTGCACAGGAACTCTGCAGTTTCCTTAGGATACACCTTGACGATGGCCACGCAGGACCTCAGCACCAGGTCCAAAAAGTTCTCCACGTAGACTCGGTCTTCAAGGGTTGACAGGACCGCCAGGAGCTCAACTGCGAAGGATGCATCGTCGTTCGGCAGCTGAGAAGTTATCATCTCTTCGGCGTTCTCCAGACACGCTGAGAAAATAACCGAGTTGGTATCCGAGGTGGAACCTGTTAAGGTGTCCAGAAGGTCTCTCAGATAGAACGGCCTCTTGTTCTCCAAGACCCTGACTTCATAAATGGAGATATCTTTAGGGACCGCTTCGTCATCGCTGTCCAAGTCGTCCTCGTCGAACTCCTGCTCTTCAGAATCCTCTTTGGTACTCTGCGTTCTCACCACCGGTTTCATGGCACTCGATTCTCCTCCAGCTAACTTCCCACCTACCCCTTTCACCGCGACAACCTCTGACCCTGAAGAGCTTTGCTCATCTTCAGAATCCTTTATAATTTTACACTGTACCCCAAGTTCGTAGATTTTCTTATATCCAATCGTAGAAAACTCAAGATGTCCGAAGCAAAGATCCCCCTCGTTGTCCAGGGTTCCACCTTTCGTGCCAAGGGTCTTCAGGTCTTCGAGGAGCTTTGCTATTTCTGGGGTAACTTGGTCGTACTCGAAGGTCAATTTTGGGGCATCCTTGGATTCGTTTAGCATGTCGACGAGTATCTCGCCAGTTATCATGCCTAGGTACCTAATGATGGGGTCGATGGATTCCAGGTGAGAAGGCACACCGTCGAGAAGGGACCTCTTCAGGGTGGCCAATTCTGAGTCTCGCAGGCTGCTCTTCAAGTTCCTCATCGAGAGAATAATCAGTTTCGTGACATACACATGCTGGTTGAAAGTTGTGTGCTTCAGGGCACTTCTGTTTCCCCAGGTATCCAGCAGCTTTGAGACGACCTCCAATATAACCTCCTTATCAGTCTTCAGGCATTGCACCAGGTTCTCTATCAAGGTGTCATCCTCGTAATAAGACATCATCGGGATCCTCACAGTCAGCGCATATTTCCAGTTGGAGTTCTTCAGTAACTCACAAATCATTCCAGCGATTCCATCTATTCTGTGATTCTTCAGAAACAAAACTGCAACTGGTTCTACGCTAGGCCTTTCCAAGTTAAGAAGAATGTCTCTGACGAGGAATCTCGGTTCTGAAGAGTCCTTCGCACACAGTTCAGAGAACACCTCGACCAGGCTGGAGTAGTAACTCGCATTCGTGGAGAGAATCAACTTGCTCATCAACGTGGAGAGTTTTCCTAGATCCGGATGTATCTTCACTTTGGAAAGTCCTTCAGCCATGAAGACCACTGCTCTGGATATGTGGAACGATAGAATGCGAGCATACTCTTCAGGAACAAAGGCATCCGGAGTGTTCCTCTGCAATTTGTTCGCCACTCTGCCAGGCAGAGAGGCCAAGACCCTGATGGTGTCCTGCCAGCTTTGCTCTGCTATGGCTTTTTGCAACCCCGAAGAGACACCGTTTTTAAGGATTATCATCGGCTTCATATCATCCCTGTCACGACTTTTTGTCAACTCTTCCACTTCATCGCTACCACATTTCCCCACTAATTCCACATCACCACCGTGACATGCGTTCACAAGTGCAGAGAACGGTGCATCGCTCTTCACCAGCTCTTCCAGGATCGCCACGACAGAATGCACAATTTTCCTGTCCTCAAATCTCTTCAGGGCATCGGTCAGAACTAGCAGGGCTTCGTTGAAGAGTACACAGTTTGCACCTTCCACTACAAAAAGATTCTTCACTACAGGGTCTACCTCGCAGCCTGCGAGTGGCCATTTTGGATCGAACCTCTCGACGACAGCCTCCAGCACTCTGCCATACAAAATGGCATCGACGTCAGGTTCACCATCCACTCCTGCGTACCTCTGAGGTGTCATCGGCCCCATCAGGTGCCTCGAATAATCAGTGATCATCGACTTGACTCGTAGAAGCTCTGCTTCGCTCTTTATCACACTAATCGAGTCCAAAAGTCGACTCGCCGCAAGGCTCGAGGTATCCATCTCCTCTTCGGGTCTCCCATCTGCAAGGAAATTCTGACTTGGGGGCGTTACTTCCTCCGACCAAAAGGAGCACACTCGTTCCCACCGAAGCTCCTCTTCGCACACTCGAGTCTCTTTGCAATCCTTTCTTAACACTCACTACTTCACTCTACCACCAACGACACGACCGATACTCGAGATCGTCGATTATTGTCAACGCAGCACGTGGGAAAATTAATTTAAAAACTCGCCTACCGTTGCAAAGTGAGACTTCTTGGCAGATAATAAAAGGATTGATACGATAGACGACACTTCTCTTCCTGAGAATTCTGCGTGACGCTTTGCCTCGAGATTAAAACTACCAAGGAAGTTTCACTTGAAAAGAGGCATCGCAAGAGTTAACCTATCAATCTAGAACTATTTCTTCATACCTGTGTTGAAATCCACAGGATTGGACGTGGAGCTCGCGATGCCGAAAAGGTTTGCGTTCACATTATTCGCCTGACCCAAGGTGGGGATCGTGGGCATGGAGTTGAACCCGTCGAGATCCGTCAGGAGGTCCGCGTTCGAAAGGGCTAAAAACGAACCTCACTAAATTCCTGAACCTTGAAATTAAAAAACTACACGCTTCATCAGTAAGCTTCGATAAAAACCTTGATTATTGTTCGAGCTGTTGAGCGACTGCGGTTGGTTGTTCATGTTTAATCCTTGAGGAGGTAACGGTGAGAATATATTGCCGGTCGCGTTGTTGCTCGGCGTCAGCAGATTGGAACTTGCCAGATTTGCCGGCGGTGACGTCACGGTCGGGTGCTGCGAGCCAATCAGCGTCGAGCTCGCCATATTGGCCGCCAAAGGGTTGCCGATACTAGGAATGGTGGCGCCCATCAGCGAGATTTGGGCCTGCGGGGCTGGCGAAATGTTCACTCCAGAATTAAACGCCGACGTGAAATCCGCAAACTCGTCGCCATTATCGTTCGTCCTCGCGCCGGTGCCGAAAGCACTGGCAAAGTCGCCAAATTCCGCAGTAACGTTCTGCGTTTGGACCGGAGTGTAATTGTTCGCCCTTGGGTTGAAGTCATCATAGTCATCGTTATCAGTAGCCGGCGCGTCGTTATTCTCGTTCTGCGAGTTGAATATGTCGTTTAGAATGTCGTTTTTGCTTTTCTGGGGCTGCTTAACCGGTGAGGACATCAGGTTACCGGACTTGGTCGGCGTGCCCTCCTGGAATTTGTAGGTTATATCCTTTATCGTATAAATACACATACATAATACATGATGCAAACGCGTGATTAATAAGTCGATTTCGTGTCTCCCCTTATCGCGCACGGCTGTTGACTTTTCCAAGATAAGAAGGTAGACTTTTAGCTCAAGACATGGCAATTCCATCACTTCGGCAGGTGTTCCGAAGGGGCACAAGATATCAACGAAAAGGACGTATCGGTTCGATGGAGCACTCACATTCAATTGGTCTTTCCCGTAATTGGCAGCTGCTCCTAGATCAACCTTTTTTATAGCGCGTGCTATTCTGGCAGGGGAGGTGTTCGCAGGTGTGGAGGGCTGTGACGTCTTGCCAATTCGGTCTATAGACTCTGCGGTGTCCCTGTACTCTCGACCACCTCTTCTTGGACTCGGATGGCCTTCGTTATCGGAGTCCTCTCTCTCGCCATCGTCGCTGCAACGAGACCGACATTAATGTTCTCACGTGACACGAAATATCCCGGTGTAATAGAGGATTCTCTATCATTTTTATTGCATCGATACCTGTTATTGGCGTCTTCGAAACCTCTTCCTCGACTGTCTCTGTCCCAATCATTGTAGTTATCGGGGCTAGGTTTGGTCCACTTGGGATTGTCCGTCCATCGGTCTCCAGCACCGAACCTCATGCCCATCGCTTCGCTCGACATGCCTACGTACTTGTCTTTATTTTTCTTGGCCTTCTTCCTCTCTTCCCTGAGTTTATCGTCGTCTTGGATGAAATCGATCAGCTCTCTAACTTTGTGCCTGATGTTAATCCCCTGATCCTTCCCAAATTCGTCGATGTATGTGTAGTTCTCTAGTGATCGAAGATCGTAGATATGCTCCCGAGACGACGTGACGACGCGTTCGGAACCGTTTCGGACCAGATAATTGAGCAGCAAGAGAGACTGGAAAAATCAAGATCGACTAGTTTAACAAGGAGAATCATCACTCTACATTTAAATCAATAAATAAAATAATATGTTCATACTTTGTACGTGCGACGCCAGTTTCGCTTGTTTTCTTGCAACATCCGTTTCCACAGCATTGACATCACGTCAGGGAACTGTTCGTATGTGAACGTGGCTTGTGCCAATTCCTGCATCATGGCCCCTGGACATTTAAACGATAAACAATTGTTAAAGATTGCGAGCCAATTTTTAGAAACCACATTTGCTCTACAATACGCCTTAAAATAATCAAAATTGTTACGATTACCTGTGGGACCCCAAGCGTCGTCGTTTGTGGCTTCCCGAACTTTTGCTTCTGTTTCTGTATAGTTCATTACCACATTGGTCCTGCAAGAATACATTTTATCACATATAAATGTGAAGAGAAAATTAGAATAAACGATACATAGCTTTTATTTGTACACTTTTAATATCAGGATTTGTTTTCCACCATTCTTATTATCAGCAAAATGTCAAATAACCGGCGAATCGAAAGTGACATTGTCTGGAGCTGATTTCTTATCATTGAGGCGATCTCAGAGATAACTGTTGAAATTCTTGATTCTGGGTCAAAAATAAATCTTGTGTACAAGACTATCGAATCTCATAAAACTGGTTTCTTCTAGGTTGTGACACGTCGAACCGCAAAACTGTAATTCAGTTGTATCTATCGTTGACTGATATGCAATAATTACATGTTGACTACTTCCCACGGAAGATAACGATACGGCAGAGATAAAAACTCAGTTAATTTTCAGTCGACTACAATATCTATTTTAACCTTGTTAGTACTCGGCCGACTTGTCAAATAAAACGAGCAAAGCTATTTCTTTTCTTAATTACGAAAATTCACACCGGTTCCTATGCTACTTAACTAGAAATGAAGGCATGACGTTTACGATCCACATTTCTCTGTAGTCATGTCTGCTGCATTAAACTGACGGAGCACGTATCACAACAAATTCTAGTAAAACATAACGATCAGTGCACCGAGCAAATTCCAATTCCCTCATAAAAGTCTCGATGCACGCCCATTCGATCTGTACTTATAAAGACCGGCCCCCAAAGGTGACTGAAAAGCGAGCGATCGTGCATCCAAAATAAAATGAAAAGTACTCTTCAATCTTGCTAAACTAGTTTTTGCCGTTTCAGGCAGTTGCGCCATAAGAGAGCAATTTAACCTAATAGTCGGAAAATCGACTCGCTGAAAGTTCAGGGCCACGGGGAAAAAGCATCACTACATTCGAGAAATTCCCGGTACGTTCCATTTCGCCGCGCGAACGCGCAAAACGTAGCGAAGTCGGGGAGAGGAAAAAGTAAAAGCGAGGTTATGTCGCGTGCGGGATCGTCCGCGCGATACTTACGCCTTGTCCATCAGCTCCCTCACTTTCCACATGTTCATCATGTTCACTCGGGACGCACTTTTGCGCAAACCTTCCGTTAAGGGGGAAAACTACCGCGGCAAAAAGCGAGAAACGGCCGACAGATGTTTTTCACGAGCATTTGATACCCTCGAGTGGAGACGAACGTCACCAGACCGCCGCCATGTTTTCCTTCCACGTTCACTGCGCGCGCATAGCGAAACGTCAACCAAGGCTGTGGACCCGCGAGGTCACCGCATCGACCAGGGCCAGTGGACAATCAGGGGAGGGAATTTCAAACAATTAACCGGATCACCACACCTAGTTTTCAGTGCGTATATTACCGTAATACAACCGAGAACGAGATTATTGTTCCACCAACCTCGGTCAAAAAACTAATCCTCGGTTACGATGAGTCGCACGTCCCGTCACATTTTAACGGCAGGTTAACTTCCACTAACCGTCGTTCAGATTAACCAGTCAAATTCGACCGTTTAAGTTTAATTAATTGAACAACTTAAAAACTGCCCAAACGTATCAAAACGAATCAAGACGTTTTTAAATTACCGCAACATTCTTGGTTATATTACTCGAGCTTAAATTCCCGAGAATTTAAAGACACTAAACTGCCCCCTTCAAAGCAAACGGCGGGAAATTCAAATGCAATTAATCAAACCCGAAACGAGACCCCTCTAAATGAAACAATCACACATTTCAATTAAGCCATTAACCAAAAAATACGAAATGTGTAATATCACAAATAACAACGCCCAGTACAATAAATTACGTGGTTTCTTTATTCCATGATCGGGACACTTTACTCGTTTCAATACTTCGCAAAATCGAGACCCTCTAGTAAATTCTCAGCAGCCGGATGGCGTGAATTTCAAATGACGCTAAATGACAGAAGAACCGATTCCGGGGTGAGGGGAAACGATAAACGAAGAAGAATTTCTAACCACAAAACTCCGCCCACGTAACTCTTCGCGAGCTAGCACAACGCGCGGACATTCCGCGGCGGTTTCGAGGAGCCCGAAAAGCCGCGCTAACCTGTCCGCGAACTAACAGCCATCACGATAAATATAAACATTATTTCACCTACATGATTTCATTTAAAAGGGAAGTGCGCGCCAACGCCTAGTTCTAACGCGACACCAAGGTCCGAAAACTCGGTAGAGTTTCGCGCCAAGTACGCACTTGCATACGCATGCGCAGTAAAGATACGCGAAACCCCACCGACTCCTCTCTAGGGGACGAAACGACGAATGCGATCAAGAAATCCGATTTTGCGATTCATCCCGTCACTCGAGGAGTGAAAAAAAGAAAAGAAAAGAGAGACGACATAATTAATGATGTACGCCGCTAATCGATCACTTTGTTGCGTTTTACGTAATGATTTGAGAGGACGACAGCCTGTAGTGCTTCGCGGGTCGCCTCTGGAAGTCCGTGGATTGGACATCGTTAAAGAAAAGGAGACGAGAAAGAAAAATGAAAAAAAAGTAGTACGTATACCGACTCAAGTAGTACGCGTCGCTGACATCAGAGCCCGACACCTAACCTCGAAATAATACCGAAAAGGAACGCAGGCATCACCGTCCGGCGGAGCGAGGCCGCGGACCCGCCGAAAATTGCGGAGATTCCGCAGCGTCTCGCGGAGGTCCTGCGGAATCCGTCGAAAAGTCCTACCCTTCGATCAAGGACCCGTTCACATGGCGCGTCGATTACCCCAATACAGGGTGTAACCCCCAAAATCAGTATCCAACGCGCACACAGCGCCATCTTTGAAAATGGAGTCGAAATATCCTGTACTATTTTCTTTTTCCACGGTGCATGATCTGCATGTAATGAATAAAAACAACGAATTTCCGCGTTTACGGCGTAATGAGCCGCTGTGTGATACGTGGCTTCCTAATTTTCTTTCGTTACATCCTGCATGTTTACAACGTGGGATTAACCAACGCGCGTTCGGAGACACGTGAACGGTCTCACGTGAACGAACTCGCAAACTCGACCTCCTCGTCCTCGTACCAGCTCGGAATCGATCGCCAGCCTATCGCTACGCTTCGTGCGCTCTCTTCCCTATATACAGAAATATATATAATATATCAATTTCATCGTTACTTAGTGTAAATCTTATCTAAGCGTTAAGTAGAAACGATCCGGCCGATCTGGTCTTCACCGATGTTGCGACGCCACCGCGGCGACCAGCGCCGCCCCGCGACCGCTCCCATCTTCGGACAGCATCAGGTCGAACTGCAAAAAAAAAAAAAAATTGCCAATGTTCATCCGATAAACTAAACAATCGATGCCAGTCTTAGATCACCACGTGAATATACATACAAGAAATTAAGAGAATGAACTTTTTAGAAAAGAATTTGCAAGCAAAAAAGAAAATGAAATTTCATGGGTGTCGAGGCGTTCCTTCGGGCCTTTAGATTAAAGCTTTAATAATTTATGAGAATAGAAAAAAATCAAGTTAAATTTCTTAGGTCCGATAAAAACTCGCAGCGAGAGTTCACCTTGTACTTCTGCAATTGACTGATCTTCTCCGTCATGAGATTGTGGAAGTGAGGGTGGTATCTGTAGACGGACCCGTCGACGCCGACCGTCACGTTGTTCTCCCCCATCTTCTCCAGAAGCGTCGCTATACCTGCGCTGGCGAGGTGCGCAGCTCGCCGGGAAACGACCGAGCAGGCGAACCTGACGTTCTCGCAGTCCTGGTCCGTGGCGTTGCGACAACCGATCTCTGCCAGGATCTCCCGGCAGTTCGTGTACTTGCCCTTGGCGTCGCTAAAAAGAAAAAAAAAATATAATGGACGTGCCAATCAAAACAAAGATGCCTCTATTCCTTACATTTAAATCCCCCTAGAATTAATTAAACCTAAATACTTAATAAATGTCCAAATGATTCGACACACCCTGTCACGAGGAGGGCCTGATAAACGAGTACCACGCTCTTATCACCTCAGGAGAGTCTTCAGGGTCTCGGGTACGCACCTCTCGATCTCCGAGACGTACTTCGTGAAGAAGTTGCCCGGTTTCTTCAGCTCCTTCGGGCACTTCCCGTCGAACAGGAGGCCCAGGTTGATGAGCTTGAGGAGGACGAGCCTGGTAAGCTCGCCCATGTACATGCCCGAGATCATCTTCTCGAAGAGCTGCTTAGAAGGGTGCGTCGAGTTCTCGTCGATGTCGCGGTCGAACTCGGTGATGATGAAGTCGAGGACTCCCTGTTCCCCGAAGGCGCCCCATTCGCAATTAATCAGCATGTGCGGTTTCTTGGGGTCGTATCTCTCGGGGATGGCGCACTTGGCGTTCGAGGTCTGCTCCACGTAGCAGGCGTTGGTGCCGGTTCCTGAGGAGCGGAAGAACTTCCCTTAAAATGACCTCCTGAGATGATTTTCAAAGAGAGAAAAAAAGAAAAATGAAAATGGAAGAGAGGAAAGGGGACGCACCAACGATAAGACCGATGCGGCAATTTCGGCTCTTCCAGGCGCAGGACATCAGAGTCCCGGTCGTGTCGTTCAGGATGGCGCACACGTCGATCTTGACATCCTGAGGAGTCCAAATATTAATAAAACTGTCCTCCAAATTGGGTACACTGAATAATTTTAAAATCAATAATTGAAAAATCGCGAGAACCCACATTCCTCCTGGCGATGGCCTCCTCGAGGAGTGCGACAACGTCTTCGTCGACTACGCCGCTGCAGTTGAATCCCTTGGTCCACCTGACGAGGGTGCCTTTGGTCAATCCATGCTGGACAAGTGGGAAGCTGAAAGTGAACCCGAGAGGCAGGGTCTCCTTCTCCAGTTTAAGTTCTTTCACGAAAAGCGCCAGACACCTCGCGATGTGGTCGAAGAGCTGGGTCCCCGAGCCCAGCATCAGGCTCTGCGGGATCGCGTATATCTTGCTCTTCATGTCGAAGTTCTGCCCGTCCAGGGTGATGAGGAGGACCCTGAAGTTCGTGCCTCCGAGGTCCAGGGCGAGAAAATTGCCCTTCTCTGCGATACAAAAAAACACTGCATCAGTCTCCCCTCTCTACCTCAGACCTTATCAAAGCTCAGACATGTTCCCTTTTCTTATCACTCATGTAAAATACAAATGATAATTAAACTAATGCACAAAAAAAATCGGTAATCCAATTTGAAAGTTACCTTCGCTCCTCTGAAATTTTTCTACTGAATAAAATCCAGCGATGATGGTAAAAATTAATTAAAATATGAAAAATGCAGTGTCTTCGACATCAGAGATGAACTCACGTGCGTTAAATAAATAAATGTGTATATGTATATATTTTTTCTTAGTTCTAAGAAACAATCTGAGATTTCTCCCGTGTTTTATTCTTCTTTTCCCAGCTTCCTCACCTGTCCCATTGGGCAGATCTTGGACGTAGGTGGAGAAACATTTGACAATGGACTCATCGTGGGTCTCTTTCGACAATCCACGTTCTATCTCCACATTAAGCTTCTGCATGACCACCCGGAGCTGATCGTCCGACAAGATGAGGTCTTTGACGGCATCTCTGATCTGTAAATGAAAAGCCAGAATTATTACACAGGTTAAATGAATTTTTTCTTCTAAGCGTACTCATCGAAAATCAATTACAAATTTGGTGTAGGATTGTATCGATCATTCCAATCGTTCAATTTGAGGTTCAAGGCCCTTAATAATTCATATTTGGGTTTAAGGTTCGCACGATGGAAGGATAGTTCAATGACCAGGAAGTGCAAGGCAACGAGATGCAATCGACGCCTCAATTTGCGCTAATTCACTCGATGCAAGTACCAAGTAGGTCGGTATTGGATTTAAATACGACAAACGAGCAATTGCTCTACATTCGCAAATAAATTACGAGGATTACAAGTGTTATTACAATGTAACGGATAATAGTCAAGAAATACTGTTAACTGTACTTAAAAAAAAAAAATAATAATAATAGAGGTACAGACAAGTGCATTAATTCGCCCGCCGAGTTGCATTTCTAGATTCGGGAATTTCTTTTCTTTTTCTTCCTTTCTCCGCCGTTTTGCACGAGCTGAACATCCGCGGTATAAATCAACTGTGAATAAATAAAACGGCGAAGGTGACATCAAAAGTCGGCGATTAAAGTCTTCGGCTGTTATCTCTTATCACGCGAGACGTCTGTCGGCGCGCCTCCAAAGTCCTTAATTTTTCTTTTTTTTTCCCCCGATAATCGCCATTGATTATTGGCACGGATTACCGACCTCGGGGAAGAACCGCCGGGGAATGTCTGATATCTAGGAATTAAATTGATATCTAAACTCTAGGAAAAAAAAAAGATAAAAAATGGAGACATTTCTTCGCCTCCACATTCTCGTAGCTTTTATCACTTGTGTCCCGAGTAAATTCCTCGGGTATTAAGAGCTTGATAATTGCCAATATTTCGGTTAATTACGGGACGTATGGGAGTAACGTTTGCGCAATTAGACGGTCTGGGAGATAAGAGAGGCCGATCATTTTCGAGGGCACGACCCTTGGAGATAAGAAAGAAAAGTAGTGCAAGTAAAAGCGATGACGAATCTCCCTCGAATTCAACGATAGCATTATCACCGGCTAATTGAAAAAGGAAAAATTTCCACAGAACCGAGGAAAGGTCTCTTCGAGTACCGATAACATAATTTTTGTTAATTGAAAGGAACAATTGGCCCGACACGAATGAACGTACTAGTACCGACGAGATAATTTTTATTAATTGAAAGGAAAACAATTGGCCCGAACTCGAATGAACGGAAAATAAATTTTTCGCAACTCCGAAGGAAACGTCGCATCCAATTTATTCCGCGTTCATTTGGCCGAAACAATTATTCCTCGAATTAACAAAATATTTCCTTGCCTCGATTACGTGTACTCGTTTTTTTTTTTTTTTGGTCTCTAGGTACCGAGTACTTTGTTACCGGTCGTTGCGATTACGGAATTTGCGAAACGGGTCATTGCGAATCCGGTATTCCGATACGAGAGATTTTTTACGACCGACTTGGTCGACGCGTTTCGCTTCGTCAGCTACGCAATTAACAAAGCAGTGCTTTCGCTTATCAATCGACTCTAGGGCTCATCGATTATCAAAGTAACGACCCTTCCTACGTTAAACCAATGTGCAATCGCCACGTGGCGATTAATCGTAGTCGGTTAAATCAGTACGTATCAATTAACACAAAATTATCAGGGAGCCGATTTAAGCTGATCTGAGACGTTACGATAAATCGTAACGATTCGTAACACGTGCAGTTAAAATCGTAGCGATTTGTAAACCATGCAATTAAGTCACACCGATTCGCACCACGTGGCATTAAAATCGTAGCGATTCGTAAGCTGTGTAGGTAAAGAAAAAAAAATTTTTTTTTTCTGTTTAGTCAGTTGAATCAGTACAGATCGTTTGCGCAGATATATCGGTAACATGCGTAGCGACCTTCGTATACCTTACCCTCGTTACGATAATTCGTAGGGGGTTCGCAATTCGTGCGATTAAATCGAGCCCCTGCGTAGGGTCGCCGCGACGGATCTGCCCCGATCGATCGGATCGACTAATCGCGACGATTTCTCGCGCCACGTGTAACGTCCACCTCGGACGCAAGGCCGCGACGCTAGACGGCAAAGTTTCGTCGTAATTGCGCAACGAGAGGTACACGTCTCTACCAGGATTGCAGCATCCGAGTCTCGGGTCCGCCTAGCTCGTAAAAATAATAATTTTGCAACCGGACAGGGACTCATCAACGGCAGCAAAATTGCAATTGCAAAAAGAAACCAAGAAGAAAAACCCTGCTCCAATCTGCAAGATAAAAAAAAAAAACCTCTAATTTGCAGAAATAAAAAAAAAAGAAACTACACCAATCGGCAAAAATAAGAAATTGCTCTAATCTACAAAAATACATAAAGTTGCTTTAATCTGCAAAAAATACGTGTCCTTGCATCCGCGCATACATATATACTCCAGCCTACCTATATACATGTATTTTGACATTACCTGCACCCATGTACTTATACCGTCTACTTTCCCCGTACTCACGTGCTCCCAATCACACCCTCCCAAGATTCGTCAGAAAAAATATATATTTTCGTAAAGTTCATTTGGGGAAAAAATAAAATAAAAAAAAAATAAAAAAATAAAACGGAACGATAACGCGTGGCATTCAACCTCCTCTCTATCTCTATCCGAGCCCAAGAGACGTCGCCAACGGAGACAAGGTTGGCCATTCTCGGGATATTAATACCCATTCATGCGTAACTCCTGGGTGCGGTGTACGAATAAAAGGTCGCGACCACGAGAACCGAATTCGGCACACCAGGAAAAGCCTCGACGCGATACCGCATCCGAAATAATCTAAGGGTCTCCCTACTTTACGACTACTCTTCAACTACAACTTGCAAATTAACGGAACAAGGAATAAGCCCGATGAGAATTAACGCCATAGGGTTTATTGTATATCGGATGGTGCAACGGTTGCGTCACGCGTTTCCGGGGGCGCGTGCGAAAGTCGCTTTGCCGGCGATAATCGGCCATTGAGAGGCGCGGCGAGCGTAATAAGCGCCATCGGACTTTTACCCGATATCTCCGCGGAAAGTGAATGACGTCGTGAGAGTGACGTCACGGCCGGGTTGAAACGGGGAAGCTTCTAAAGGTGGAAATGAAGGGGGTCCGCATAAGATTGTGAAAATATGAAAATGAGAAAATCCAAAAAGGTGAAAATGTGAGAATGTGAAAATGTGAAAATGTGAAAATGTGAAAATGTGAAAATGTGAAAATGCAAAAATGCGAAAATGCGAAAATGCGAAAATGCGAAAATGCGAAAATGTGAAAATGCGAAAATGCGAAAATGTGAAAATGTGAGAATAAGAGCAAACATACCAGATATTGAGATTACGAATATAAAAGTGAGCAACCGCAACTTTTAATTACATCACTGCCGTCATTCCTCCTCCCTCGAAACTAAAAATTCCCATACCGAGGAAAAAAAAAAAAGTCCATTGAACCAAAGAAATATTCTATCAATTGAAATAATTATTACGCTCAGACTGAAATAAACCGGATTTACTCGGAACCATGGCAATTGATTTGAGTGAAACATATATATTATTAAAATATGTCACTGGCTAAATGAAACTTTTTTTTTCTTTTTTCTCAGTGCACTAAGCATCGGCTACACGTGTACCGAGATTAAAGAGTCTCGTACCGAAGGCACAATGTCACCTCTCGGTACGTGACGATAAGACGCGCGTATTTGCGTGCCACGGTGCAGATAAGGGGTGAATTATTTTCGACGCCGGAAACGCCGAGGTGGAGGGGGGGTAGTGGCAAATCTAACCTAAAGTCTTTCTATAACCGACGATACATTTTCCCCGCCCGAGTATAAAAGGGCCACGTGACCCGGGAATATAGCACCAAAGGTCAAAGAAATGGCGCCAATGGGGCGTCGCGCTCTAGGGGGTCAGGGCGAATCAGGACTTGAATATAACCGGAAAGGACGGGGCACTCACCTCCGGCTGGACGTCGAAATCGTCGATGGTGCACATGGGCACCGTCTTCATGTCACGACTCGCGAGGGCACGGGGAGAGACTGGCGCGCGCCGTAGGATAGGCTCGAAAGGTGCGCACCTGGCGGCGTGCGGGCGCAACTGTAGAGCCGAGGGTCCACGACGAGAAACAGCTGCGACTAGCGAGGGCGGCGGCTGACTCGCGACTGACGAGTGACTGAGGCGCGCGCCCGTAAGGCTGCCAGGAGGGGGTGGGGGGGAGACCAGCGCGCGCACGTTCGCTTCACCCGGCGAACATTGCCGCGCGCGGACTACACCCGGTAAACCTGCGCGCGCAGCCCAGGGGAACCACGCGTAATTCCATTTTCATTTTCCCCTCCATTCTTTCATCTCAGAGGTCAGGGTGGGTCAAAAATCATCGGAGCCATCAATCAATGGCCAAATAGAAAGTCAGATACCTGGAGTCTTAGGTTCAAAGTTTATCGAGATATTTGGCAGAGCTGCGAATATCGTAAGATGGATCAAATGTGAGAACGTTTCACATGAGAAAGGAAAGATTGCGCGAGACGGGTGGAAGGGCATCCCGAGGTCGCACCCTCCGGTCTCGAGCGACCTCGAAGTGAATTTCCCCATAGGTGAAAGAGAGCTACGATATGACGCGAGACTCGTAATCGAGTGACTTCGATCGCATGATTAAAAAAAAGACACCTTTTACTCTGGCACGCCAAAGTGAAGAAAAAAACCAATACTGTAATAATAGCATTATTATTCTTCTAAAACCGCACGGCTTGCCGGATTAAAGTAAACAGTACAAACACTGTAATAATAGAATAATTATTTTAGAAATGCATGGCACGCCGGAGTAAAGTAATAGTACGAAAATGTAATAATTATACGGTTGATAACGTTGGACGGGTATTTCCCCTGGAGCCGCGCTTCCCCCACCAATCACAGCGCGCCTTCCCCCACCAATCACGGAGCACCTTCCCCCACCAATCACGGAGCACCTTCCTCCACCCCTCTACCGCGCCCCACCTAGGTCACCTCAATGACCAGGTTATCCGTGAATGCGCCGCGCGGTGCTCTACTCTTTCCTCCCTCCCCTCCCATCCCACTTCCCCTCTCGAGCACTTCGCGCTCCTCGGTCGACTACTCGCCAAGGGCAAAGAGGTCACGCCGCGCTTCCTAGATGTATCGAGTCCTGGCGGACGTGCGCGGCCCAACGTTTTCGGCGTCTACTTCCTTGGAATAAATAAAAAAGAAAAGACCGCGTCACATAACCTATGATTTCATAAGGCTGCGGGGAGTCCCGTTATCGCGATTAACGAGAACAGGGCCAAGCGAGCGGCCTCGAAGCCTCGCGAATTACCGCGAATATGATAAATCGTTGAGTTATCACTTGGGGTTGATATTTCCGGACTTCGATATTCGATCTTGGAATAGCGGTCTCTGTAGAAATGGAAAGGAAACCTCTTTTACTGACTTAATGGGCTAACACATGACCATGAAATTCTCCGAGAGATTAGCTACAGTCTCGCTTATATATTTTGGGACACTCGGTGGGACTCGAGACAAGCTTTCACATTGCCTTATACTCAGCATGAGCATAAAAAAGCCATAGCTCTTTAAATACCTCTGTCGATTTATTAATACGCTCTTTCGATGATTATTCCGTTGAGTGCAGACATTTAAATGCATGTACTTGGTGCAAGACATTAATGAAATAATTCCCATAAACGGTATGAATTTACGCAATTCCACTTTTGTCTCTTGGAAAATGGCTAATCACTCGTCTCGAATTTCAAGGGTTTACGTAAGATCTCGAAAGATTTCGCAAGTCCCACTGAACAATACAGAGTTACTCAATTGCTTTCCAGCCAGAGGTTGGACCTCTTCATCGGAGTCGAAGCAACATTGTCAAGAGGAAATATCGTCTTTCACGTCGTTGACGTCACAAGCCGTTAAGAACCATTACCAGGACAATTATATCTAGGTTGTTATTTTCTCTCGGGAAGATTACTGGTCGGCATGCAATAAGCTTAGAGGATTAAAGTTCGTGTGTATTTACTGCGCCGACGAGTCACTCGAGTTGTAAACAGTGAGTAATAAATCTGTACTTGGAGCCATTAAAAAAAACTTCCTCAACTATTCAGCCGTTCTGCAATGAACTGTTTGAAATAGAAATTCTCTCTCCGTGAGCCTCTGCCTCGAAGTACAATTTGCATTCTCACGCCGTGATAACAATCGACCTGAAATACGTATTGTCAGTGAATTATTCAAAGAAAAGAGAAACAATGAAACGTACGGCGAAATTAGCAGTTAACCCTGAAATGACATGTGACGAACAGCTTGCCGGTCTCGTTTGGTTCTTCTAGTTTTACTCGAACGATCGCGACTGTGGGCAGAAAAGTAATATCGAGGCCGGTCGGCGCAGGAATTCCAGGAATCGCGCGCTCCCTTGAAGACATTCCAGGCGTTTCGAGGAGGAGCCGGCGAGCGCGGGGGGCAACGATCGCGTCAAATCGTAACAGCGGCGAAAGTAACTCACGGCGTTATCCGGCTTGAGCCCCTTCATCTCGTTGATCCTGTACCCCAGGGTGATGGCGTCGGCGACAGCGCTAAGTGGGAAGAGAGTCGCCGGGGCGAAATTGACAACGTCAACTGACAGCAAAGCGGAAAGGCCGCCGAAAATCACAACCACAACGCACGTGCCAAAACTCGCGTCGACTCGGGTCGTCGCGAAGATAGATCGAAACCATCGGCCTATCGGCGCCGTCGCGGGGTGGGGCGCGCAACGACCAATCAGAGTCGAGCGATTGGCGGAACCGCCCGAGCGCTCGCGGACAGATCCGAGCCGCCGCGCGGCCCGTTGGAGGTGGGCGTGACGTCACGACGTACCCCGTGACGTCACAGGGGTCACTTTCTCAAGGCGCGCGCACTTCCGATTTTTCCTACACATGATTTTATGCGAGATTTGAACTTTGCGCGCGCTTCGCTCCAGGGGATAGTTTACGTTAGAGTTTTTAAGGTGTTATAGAGAGAAGGTTAATGTATTTGCCTTCACAGGGACTGGAGGTGCACACATTTGTTGCTTCAAGGATTTACAACATGGTCTTCTAACGACTATTCGCACAGGCTGGAATAAAAAGCACGTATTAACCTATAAATTGCACTCCCGGAATCAGCTACGCGATCAATAAATTACCAATTCCTCTCCAGGAGTATACTGGTCCATTTTCAGAGAATAAAATGTCCCGTTGTAACAACTTTCCCTTCTGTCAAACGATGGTAATTGAACCGTCCTGAACAGGGTTGGGTAATTTCACGACTGCCCTCAATTTATTGTGAGTTGGGCCGCCGTTACAGGAATATGAACGAGCCGCCTGCATCCTCCACCGAGGGCAGCACAGGACGCAATCGGCGACCCTACCCATAAACAATCTCCTAACTCATCTCTGTATAGAACAAAATCATTTCACCGGTGAATCCCACTTCCACTGGAGTTTCAGCTTTTATATCGAACGAGATTTTAAGTTACAAATTAAACCAGAAATCAATTCTATCGTCTAAAACTCCCATTCGTTATCATTTTTATCCATAGAATCCCTTAGGAAGATTCATCTTTGATATCGTTTGAAAATTAGCGCGCACTTTCTGACGCGACGCTGTGATTGGTGGAAAATCGATTCCCGCGGTCGATATTTTTCAAACGATTTGAGAGTTCGAACTTCATCTTGTTTAAACAATTCGAATTCTGGTCGTTAGAACGAAATTTGGGAAGAGTCGTTGCATTGGTTGAAAGAGAGTCACGTTATATTCTGTGATGTCAGTGTTTTTAAAGCAAATTGAGATAATCAATTTTAAATCCTACAAAGGACATGTACTTGTTGGTCCGTTTAGACAGTTTAGTGCTGTAATCGGGCCGAATGGCACAGGTAAGGCAATTAACATTGTACTGATAATATTTTTTATTCATATATTTAATATTTTACTTGTGAAAATAAACAGCAGTGTACAAAATTATTTATCGTAGGGAAGTCCAATTTCGTTGATGCGATCAGCTTCGTCATGGGAGAAAAGGCATTCAACTTGCGTGTTAAAAATTTAGGTGAACTCATTTACGGAGCATCATTAGGATTACCTGATTCACCTAATCAATGGTATTGAAAATTTTATGAGTTTATCTACTAATCTATTATACATTAATTACGGAGGGATGTACAGATCGAATGTTAATTGTATTCTGTCATTTGTTATGGGTGAGTAATTAATTCCTTGTCATTTTTAGTACCTCTGTAACAGCTGTTTTCATCTTGGCGAGAGATGAAACAAAGAGTTTCACACGTTCCATTAAAAATTCTGCGTCTGTGTATCAAATTAACGAAACGGTAGGTATAAACGATAGGTTAATAATATTTGTAAATAGATATCTGACTTTGCACTGTTGTTTTATAGGTCGTTGCCAATACAGAATATTTGGAAGAACTGAAACGGATTGGAATAAATCTGAAAGCCAGAAACACTTTAGTACCTCAAGGGACGATAGAATGCATAGCCATGAAGGATCCGAAAGACTTGACAGCACTTTTAGAAGAAATTAGTAATTCGAAAGAACTGAAACCTGAATATGACAGGTGCGTTGGTAACGTTTATGTAGATGTAATTGAAATTGTTATTTGTTATGGAATTTGCACGAACTTAATTCTTCTTAATATAGCACCTGGTCTAAGGCATCAGAGATTGAAAATGAAGGTCAGTTACTATTGGAAAAAAGAAGAGTATTTGCTGCCCACAAAAAAGCGATTGTTCAACAGGTGGAAGAGTTTGAAACGTATGAACGTCTAGAAGAAGAATACGTACGCAACATTTTTAATTTTCAGTTTCGAACAGTTAGATTATCAAACAACTACTGTACGTCTCGAGAAAAACAGAAGTATATAATCTGAAATTGTTTTTATCGCAGATCGAGAAACAATTGACGTTTTACTTATTTCGCTTGTACTACAATGAAAAGGATATCAAACAGTTGAAAAGTGATAAAAGTGAAAAGCGATATGAGTTAAGTAAATTGGAAGAAAAGGAAAGAGAAGCAAACGAACAGTTACTTAAACAGAAGAGGGAGTTTGGAAAGCTGGTCCGAGAACTTGCAAAGCTGGAACAAGATGTCCGAGAGCAAGAAGTGGAAATGTCAAAGAAGAGATCTAAATTTACTGAAAGAATGCAGCAAAAAGCGTATCTTCAGGAAAAACTAGAAAGTGCACAGAAAAGTTTAGAAAAAGCACGCTTGGAACATGAGGCGCATAAGGAAGCAATCAAAGAATTGCAGAATCAGTTACAGGAAATCGAAAGAGCTAAAGCTGATTACGAATCAAGCATTGAAACACTTTCTCAGTCGCAAGGTATAGATATTCAATTGATGGACGAACAGGTAATTAAATTAGTCTTAACAAGTTACCATTTTCTAATTATCCTACCTATTAAGCTAACATTTGAATCTTTATTTAAGTTGCAAGAGTATCGCAGGCTTAAAGCTAGAGTGGGACAACAATTGACTCGATACTTTCAAATTTGCGATACGCTTAACAGAGAACAAAAGTCAATGCAGGACAAGCTTGACAATGAAATTAGAAAAAAAACTGAAACTGAAATTAAATACCAGCAAAAAGTTCATGCTAGGGATGAGTGTATAGATCGAGCTAAAAGATTAGCAGAACACATTAATACATTAGAAACAAATTTAAAAGAGCAACGAGCATTGCACGAAGAACTAGAAAGGGACATTGCCACATCGGATGAGAAGATTCGACAATCTCAGGAACAGTTAGAAAATATCTTCCAACAGTTAAACAAAGCCAAGGCGAATAAGGATGATATGTCTAGATTGAAGACAAAGGCAGAAATTATAGAACGTTTGAAAAATCTTTATTCTGGTGTAGTAAGTATGTCGATGTCATGACTATTAATTATTAACTTATTAGTAATCTAGATTTAAGAAAGCTTTAAAATATTTCAGTACGATCGAATGCATAATCTGTGCCAGCCATTTCACAGTCGATACAAGATTGCAGTGACTAAGGTTTTTGGAAAATTTATCGACGCAATTGTTGTTGACAGTGAGAGGACAGCTACGCAATGTATTAAGTATTTAAAGGAACAACTTTACTGTCCTGAAACTTTTCTACCGTTGAGTAATCTGCTGGTTGAATCGTTGAAAGAACGACTTAGGTATTTTATTTAACATTGTTATGAATATTTTTTGTTATTCTAATTATTTTCATAAAATTATAATAATTGTAGGGAAATTGAGGAACCGAGGAATGTGAAGTTGCTATACGATGTGATTCAGTTCACTCCGTCAGATGTTGGCAGAGCTGTATTATTTGTCACAAAGAATACTCTCGTTTGCGAAACTCCAGAGGATGCAAGGAAAGTAGCTTATGAAATGGATGGAAATAATGTGTACGATGTAAGAGATGCGACTGTTAAAAATTTAAGTAAGCTTGTCGTGTAGGTTATGAATTTTATATTGTATAATTTATTTTCTAGTGCGTAGCATTGGATGGAACGTTCTTCAAGAAGAGTGGATTAATATCAGGAGGTACTTTCGATTTAGAGAGGAGAGCTCAAAGATGGGACGAGAAAGAAATCGCTGAACTAAAGTCTCGAAAGGTTTCTTCCCTCGCACTCTTATTTCTCATAGATTTAATTGTTTATCAAGGACGTTGATGTTAAATTTACGTACTTCCAGGAAAAATTATCGCAGAAAATAAGGGATTGTTTGAAAGTATCCAAGAAGAAGGCTGAAATAAATATATCTCAGTCTCAGATTCAAGGACTTGAAATGCGACTGAAATACAGCAAAAATGACGTGACTGCTATGGTAACTAATCACTTCATTTCCTGAATGATATTTTTTATGAAAATCCTCGCAATTGGGTTTTCTATTTACAGAATGAACAAATAGCGAATCTCAAAATCGACATAGAAGCCCTCAAAGGCGAGATAAATAGTTATAACGTGAGTAGTGGTAAAGCAGTACGTTACTGTCTTCAAATTTTGTAACTGCGTAATTGTACAATAATCAAGAAAATTATTTCATTGTAGTCTACTATAGCAATGATTGAAAAAGCAATGGCCGAAAAGAATCAGAAACTTCAGACGATCTCGACACAGATGAACATTATTGAAGATGGTATATTTGCAAGTTTTTGCAGGCGTATCGGTGTCAATAACATTAGACAATACGAAGGAGGAGAAATGCGGTATGGAATACAATCGTTACAATTACAGCTTTTCCCCTGTTACGTTTATTATTTTTTCCTGCCATACTTTAGTAATTTAGAAATTACCTCGTTCAGAATTCTCACAATATTTTTTAAGTTTTGCCATTTGGTCAATTAAAACATGTATTTCAGATCTCATCAAGGGAGACTCAACAAGAGAGCAGAGTTTGAGGAACATTGCAATCGTATACGCAACCAATTAGATTTCGAAGAACAGCGAGACACTATGAGTTTGTATCATGTCTATTGAAAGTTATATTATGGTAGGACGTAATATCATTAATAACGTTATTTTTAATATCGGCAGGTAATATCTTAAAATGGGAGAAAGCAGTTAAGACGGCAGAGGAACATTTAGAGTCTGTTGACGAGGCACAAGCAGCAGAGAAAGCAGACTTTGAACAATTTAAAGCTTCCTTTGAGAAGTTGACGTCCACTTGCAATGAAAAGAGTCTTCAGGTTGATCAGAAAGAGAAGCAACTACGAAGTTGCACACGAGCTGTCAGAGTTGTTGCAAAAGACATCGTAGAAATTCAGAAGCAGATTAACATGCTCAATTCAAAAATCGAACAAAAGAAAGCTGAATGTCACTCCATCTTTGTAAACTCCAAGGTGGTATCGCTGTTTATATGAAGTGAAGTTCTGTGATAGTGTTAATTATACCGTGATAATTATTCCCTACTCAGTTGGAAAACATCGAAGTGCCTGTGTTGCAAAGAAATGTAGAGTTAATGTCTGACAGTACTTCTAGTAGAGTAGACAGTTCTGAATTGGACGATGAATTTAGTACAACTTCCTTCCAATTATATGGACATGAAAGTCGTGTAATGGTGAAGTATACACAGTTACCCGATAACTTGAAGAACCTAGAAGCAAACGATGTCGAAGAGATATCTGAACAATATAAGAAGGAAATAAAAGACCTTCAAAATGCAATAGGGAATATAAAGGCGCCAAATATGAGGGTCAGTGACAGTGTTTAAAAATATTGATCTGTAATTAGAGACTCGAGTTGAGTTGTCAATCATCTAACATTACTTTTTTTTTTTTGTTAGGTTGCCGAGTTATTCAGCGTAGCGAAACAGCAGTACGAAGAAGTAAGGGACCAAGTGAAAGAGTTTCGTGAGAAGGCTGTGAAAGTGAGAAGTAAATTTGAGAAGATAAAAAAGGAGAGAATTAAAAGATTCATGACTTGCTTCGAGCACGTCAACAAAAATGTTGATTCTGTGTTCAAGGTTCGTACCTCTCGAACCTCTTCGAACTGGATCATTGTAATGTTCAGTGATATTTACTTATTTTTAAAACCTTTTAAGAATATTAGTCACCAGTTTTAACAACTTCATTTTAATTCAGGCATTGACAATGACTGATTCAGCTCAAGCATTTCTGATGTTACAAGAACCGGAGGAACCGTTCTCGAGTGGCATTATATACTCTTGCTTCACTCCTACGAAAGGCTGCCAATCCATATCAAATTTTTCAGGCGGAGAAAAGACCATGGCTGCTTTAAGTCTTTTATTCGCTACACACAGGTACCATAATAGATCTAATATCACTTTTCGTAATATTGGAAACAACTTTTAACCTCCAATGTGTTATTTAGTTATCGGCCAGCACCATTTATAATCTTTGATGAAATTGATGCATCGTTGGACAACCACAATATCAAACAGGTGGTGCATTATATTCGGAGGAAATCAAAGTCACAGCAGATAATAGTGGTTTCACATAAAAACCAGTTTTTCTCGAAAGCCGAAGCTCTTATTGGGATTTGTTCAAACGTATGTTAAGTTTAGGAAATTTATAAATATCTGTCCAGTTCAGATTACGTTTATAAAATTTCTGGTGTATATAACTTTCTTTTAATTTTCAGGGTAAAGATCCCATACAAAGCAATGTTTTCACTGTCGATCTGACTCGGTATTCACGTGCCAGAAAACAGTGATTGTTGCAATGAAGGCAATGGTAACAGTTGTTTCGTTGTCTTTTGACTTTCAAGCTGCAGGAACAAAATCGGATATCATCGTTAGGTTTTAATTTGTTTTTACAGTACAACATAATTAATCTTATTTATTTCTGTTGAGTTTGGCCTCAAACATCAAAGTTATTTATATATAAATTATATAGTATAACGTCTTTATTTCCATTGAGGGCGAAAAGATCCACAATCTTCATTCTTTCATTGAAGGCAGTTGTTACGATATTAAATATTCTTGATGCCATTAACCAGATTCAGTTGGTGCATCGCCAACTGGACACGTAGCTCCACACAGGCGTCTTTTTCTTCGATAATACTGCGTATAAGAGTTGCCATTTTTTTCTGCAATTTATAAAACGAAAATAAAATTTATACAATTTTATGAGGTACGTAAAAAGTGTAAGTAAATTTCCATCGATTTTCTCGAACTCCGAAGAGTGTACCGAAAAGAAAGTTTATACCGAGAATTTTCTAACTTCAACCGTACCTCCAGTAATTGATTTTCCTTGTTTAGTAGAATCATCGCCGTTATTTCCGCGTCATTTGGAGAGTGTACCCTCTCTTGAGGCTCGTATTTTTCAGGACCCTTTTCCGCCAAAGCGTCAACTAATCTCCTGATCTCGTTTTTTTCCTGAACGATTCGCATTTTCATCGATTCCTGCATCTTCACTAGTTCTCGATAGATTAAGATTTCCCGAAGCTTCTCCGTGGGATCGTCTTCTTCTGGAGTATCTTCTACGATTTCACGTTGACACTTGTAAATGTAAAGATTAAGTTCGATAGAAGATTCGCTGGAAAGTTACATACCTTTAAGGCGTTTGTCCAATGCTTCTGTAGTTTCCTCCGCAGTGGGGTTCGAAGAAGTCAATGAAGGCTCCGAAGAGTCTACGGTGTCTTTGCTGTTGGAAACTGCTCGTCTCACTTTTTTAGTCTCTTCGTTGGACTTTGGTGGGGGCAAGGAACACAACGATGTCGTGTCATCTTTAGTTTCTTCCGAAGGCCGCAATTGGTTGTCGTTTTTGGTAGCTGGAACCACCGATGACAGTTTACGTGGCTCTGTTTTTGATTGACCCACTTCGGACTCCGAAGTCACTTTAGCTTTCGATAAATTATCAGTTTGGTTCTCGTCGCTAGACTTGACTTCGTCATCCACAGTTTTCTGCGATGCTCCTTCAAGCTTCTGAACTGTTTTGTATTTCCTCTGCAATGTATGCATTATCATTGACACTTTTCATTTATAAACGTTAAAATTTTTATTTTCTACCCTACTTAAACGTGAAGTCGAGACGATGAACATCACAGAATTATCCACGTGGAGAATAAGTTGTCCTACCTTTAGTTGGGTGATCATACGTTGAACTTCCCACAGTTGTTCTTCCCTAGATTTTGTGACAAATCCTGCATTCATTTGCATGTGAATCTGCGAAAGCAGTGACTCCTGTTTGGCCAACTCCGCAGCGATGGCTTCCGCAGTCTCTGGCAGACTCAGACTGCCTGCTGAGAGCGGTGGCACATATTTTGTCAGCTTAACCGTTGGGAAGAGAGCTTTACAGTGGAACAAGAGGGCGAGAAGCAACCGATGGCTCATTTGTAGCACTGGGCTCAACGTCATTGCGATTGTTTGCGCGTTCATCTTCGTACTTTTCTCCTGAAATCCCAACGATTATCGATACGGAAGATCTTAAGTGTTCCAACATCTTTCGTAACGTACACAGGTCGTTACGTGGTCCAGATGCAAAATGACCCAAGCGAGGAGAACTTGATTACATTCCGGTAGTTGTTGGGTCAAGCGAATCAGCTGGGCTTCCCTCTGAGCAACCTCCTTCGTCGATGCTGCTTGCTCGAATCGAGACGTTAACTCACTGTTCTCTAACACTGGTTCCGGTAATTCCCTATACGAGAAATTAGTTTCAAAAAACTTTTGTTATATGGTGAAACACAACACTTTGTAAATCAAAATTTGAATCAAGATGCAAACCTCAAAAACAATATTAACAAACTGGTAGCTACTGTAGGTTCAAACTCTGACATGTTGACCGATTCGCGTTGGTGGTACAGTTTTTTCAGAGCTTGTACTTTCGATTTAACTCCCGAGACTTTGTACAAGCCTTCGACATTCATACCATGTTCTTCCACGTAATCGATGCAATCTCGTACGACTAAAGGTAGTTCTACGCCATCGTGACATCGACTTCTTTCTACTGCCAAGTGTAAACTGACTCCAAAAATTGGTTGTTCATCTAGAAATGATATTGATGTTACAAAAATTTATAATATGTATAAAGAAATATCCAGGGCGGGAAATATATTAAGGATATCTTACCACCGATGTCTAAACCTTCTTCTTCCCCATGTTTCCCCTTTTTTTTTTCCTTCAGCTTGAACTTAGTTTTTTCAGTTTTCCGCTTCTCTTTGTCTGCATCCTTTTCGTCCTTCTCCTTTTTCCGCTTTTCCTTTTCCTTCTCTAGTTCCTTTTCTTTTCCATCCTTTTCCCTGGACTTCTCCCGCTTTTCCTTCTTCGATGGGAATTTGAATGTTTTTGATTTCTTTGACTTTGACGGACTCCTAGAATAATAACGTCATTAAATAATGTTTAATAATAGTAAAGTTAAATAATCCACACAGGTTTCTTTACTTTGTCTCTTGATCTTCGTCGGGTGAACTTTCCCCTTCCAGAGTCGCGTATCCTCTGTCCTTCGGTTCCTTTTTCTCCTTTCGCTTCCCCCCGAGCAGTTCCTTCTTCGAGTGCTTCTCATGCCCCCCTTCGTCGCTGTCTACAATTACATGAATTCAAGTACATTCGAGTCAGAATTACATTCGATTGCAGATAGCGCTCTGTTTTCGGATCCAAGAAATCACGCCTTACAATCACTTTCGTTGCTTCTCCTTGCCGAGTCGGAAGCATACAATCCTGGGAACTCCTTCTCGACATCTGGACTCTCGAAATCCATGATTCTAAAAATTATAGTTCAGGATGCCGTTCACAGTGTCCTCGTCACTGAGTGCCACATTCGGCACTGATCGACCTTAATCAGCTTTTAACCATGGTCAGTAGTTGCAGAAAGCACGACCTTAAAAACAATTGCAATAATTCAATGATAAAGTCATAGATACGAGACACTTGTCATTTAATCGGCTTCTGTTAATCGCATTTGGCAAGTGTTTTGCTATTTGCCACAAGCCGAATGTTGCGTCATTTTCGAAACTAGAAATATCACTAAATCAACCATTTCGTGAATATTTAAAATAAACGAGTACCGAGGAGAAAGTCATGGAATACTTGCCATTTATTTGGATGCACTTAACCACACTTGACAAGAATCTGTCTCTGCGTTTTACTGGTTTTGTTTTCTCGAGCGATGTAGCGCGTGCGTCTACATCGTGAGGTTAGGTCGAACTTAACTGCGTCTCTGTTTTTAAACACATTACAAAAATTGCTCAAAGTTTAAACACCTGCGACTCGCAATTTATTCAACGCATTTAATGCCACCTTGCAAGAATTCTTCGCAAGTTGATTTAAAATGACAATTGTTGACAAATGCGATTACACCATGAGTTTAGAGCTTATACCTACATTGGATTTACGGTTTTAATTGCGCGCCAAATACAAACCCAAGTCAGCCGAAACAAGACGAAAGTGCATTATAAATATATTATATTTATCCGTGACATTGTTTAAATATGTTTATTGATAATATTATATAATTTATAATATTCTACCTTTCATTAGTTTGCAGTTTAATAGCCTGTTACAGTAAAGGTACATCGAGTGCTCTTTACGTTCTAACGGTACGTACAGAGTGGCAATATCAAATACTCTATATATTAAAGGAAGGAAACGATTTCCATTGAGTGAGTCTATGCTGGACGATCGCTGGAGCACGTAGAAGGATATATATTAAATACATTTATGAAGGAATGGCACATTGAATATTTATCATTTCCACTCTGGTATACCTCGAACTGCATCGTTATGCCTGTAATCTACTTTTGTACTGGAACGTATTACTCTGCAGTCATATAATATCTATTAGAAACTGTAGAGCAATTTTGTACCATAAAAGTATCGACATGGAAAATTATTAAACGTGCTCTTCGGTGCTGCATGCCTTGGTGACGTAGCGTTCTAGGTGAATACGTATGAGTACGTACAGATACGTTCATTTTGGTGGATAACTAGCTCATCAACAGGAACGATAATAAAATAATTGGCAAGATCCAACTGAATGGTCGACAAATCGTAGCGTCTGAAATTGAAATAAAATACATATTTACATGGTAGTTCTGCATTCGACATCGAATACCAATTTTCTACTATCAATTTACCACTTTCACTGTAGCGAACGCAATCCAGGAGGTCCTCTGTGATTGTATACTCTTCGGCACATTTGCAGGTTCCTGAAAAAAAAAATGTTTCTTTTAATTATAAAGGCATAACCTCAAAATATGTTTTCATATTAAAAGCGTATTTTACCATCAACGCAATCCACGTTGGACCATTCGTATCCAGTCGACGATTCATAACCTAGGTTAGTTTTAGTAACGCATTCTCCAGAGCTTTCGCAAGGTTGATTCAGTCCTGCGATAAATTGATACAATGAATCGAAGCAATGACATAACATAGGAATTAACTTTATAATTAAAATAAGACTTTAATGTGTTTAATTAATGTATTTATATCGTACCAACGCTTCTCAAGCAGGTGCCTGCACGACGATGATAACCTCTGGCGCAGGTGCATCCTCCATCGAAGCAAATAGAATTCGAAATGAATTGTTGACACTGGGTGTCTTCTTCGCAAGGCTCCCCAACTGCATCGGCAGCCTTCAGACATCTCTTCCCATCGCTTGAAGTCACGTAATCCACTTTGCAGCCACAAACATCGAGACATCTGGAGTCATCGACGATGCACTCTTCGTCATTCGTGCACCGCTCATCAAGGACTGGGTAATATAAATGAGTATAAAAAATTATATTTAATTAAGAGTTGCATATATAATAGCAGGTGGCAAATTTAATAGAATGTTTTTCTCACGGGCATTTTTAATGCATCTGGTTCCATCCGAGCTTCGATGGTGCCGAAGTGGACAGGCACAGACTCCGGAGACGCAGAAGGCATCGGTGTTGTCCACTCTGCAGTTAAAAGAAGTCTGGCAAAACTCTCCGAGACCTGAAAGAAGAGAAGACTGGTATTTTTCTGTATTTATTGAAGACATGTTGCAGATTTATCGAGACCAGTACCAAGAGATTTATAACATCTTCCATGGATAAAGTGGGACCCGAGAGAGCATTGACAGGTATTGTCTCTACACTCTGCCTGGGCTGCGAAGGTGACTCGACACTGAACATCTTTCACACAGGGATCTCCTAGAGCCTTGGCGACTGGAATTTGCATAAGAATTAACACCAAATGTAAGGAAACCTAGTTTCAAAGCAATTGTTCGACTGCCAATAGAGGCTTCGGAGTAACTCAGCCTCAGCCAAAAGTCCATCGCTGTCTCATTGTATTACTTTCCAATACTATTTTCTTATTTGTATGATTTTTTTTCTACTAGGTACGAACCTTGAAGACACTGCACGTGGGTGCGATTCCTGTCGAAGAGGAATCCCTCTTTGCAGAGACACTTTTCGCTGTCCCTGCAGCAGAATGCATGCTCCGGACACTCATCATCGAATTCACAGGGTACTTGGCTCTCTGCGGAAGAAGGGTGAACGAATTTAAATTCTATTTTCCTACGATATTCTAAATCTATACCATACGTTACGAAATAATTTCCAAATAGTAGAAATTAGTACAATATGTCTGAGTAACTGTTATAAAGTAACAATATCGTTTCCAACAGTGTACTTTATATTGAAAGGATTTTTAATTACAGGGCGCATCGAGGGTAGCTCGGGAACGTCGATAGAGTTCCGCACCAAGTACATGGAAGAATCATATCGGATGTTATCACGTATATACGTACGTACTGATCAGTCTACGAGCGGTGCATCTGATCGACGGATTGGAAGCTGAAGAGATCGCGATCGAGGAGATGCCGACGACGAGCAGAACCAGGAGATCGAATTTAAAAAGCCTCGGAGTCTTTTCACGGATCGATGATCGAGTCGATCTGCGCCGATCGAGCTCGCCTCTATGAGCGGTCATCGGGACGACTTCCTCCTGACATCAATAGGATGTCAGGGACTGATTGGCACTGTTAAAACCCGACTATTTTCGTCCTGAAGAAGAGCACTTCTTCCTGGGAGCAGCGTTTAGCATCGACGCCTTAAACGACGCCCTAAACGACGTCTCTCCCGACCCTGGGCAAGAGAAAAACGGAGTTAACACCCGAGGCTCAAACGCGGCGTTAAAGAACGACGGTACTCGATTTAATGCCTCTCCTAAAAGCGATTACCACACGCCCTGAGGATATTCTTAGTTAATAATTTCCTCTTAATGTCCCAGACACTTTTTGCCACCAGGTGCAAGGAAGACCTAAACGTTTTGAGGCTTCCAGAATATTAAGACACCTGCCACCTGTTCCTGAAATTCGAATCGCCCACGACGCACCTATCGTCTTTTTTAATAATTCCAAAAATCGGATATTTATATTTTTATCTCATTATTATTTATCTCTTATCATTTAGTGCAGATTAATGCCGTTTTTTAATGGCAAGCGTGACGTGACTCTATTTTTTATACGTATCCTAATTACTGTATTTTATTATATGTATCCTAATTTCAACTTTTAATGTTAATGTCAAAAGTCGTGTGAAACACTAAACTGAGTACGAGTCTAAAACTAGAATTTAGTACGTCCGTTATTTCAGCCGCGTCGCAACTTTGTTACGTTTAACGATTAATATTCATGAGACGAACGGATGACGACTGAGGAAAAATACGTAATGAGTAATGTGTAAGAGTGTGGGGGGAATAATGGAGACTAATAAAATTTACCATTTCAGGTGATCGGTGTCTCCAACTACTGCCGGGCCTCAGTCTTACAAATTTCCTGCAACTTTGCGCTGCAACTTTATGCGGCACTTCCTTCCGGCCGAGCTGCGTGCAGTAATTCTACGGATTACAACTTTGCGTGGCAATTAATCGATTGCAACATTGTGCGGTGAACGTCGATTGCAACTTTGTGCGGCAGGAAATGCCCCGGCTGCAACTTTGTTATTAAAAAAACTGCGATGCAACTTTGCGAGGCAACGATCGACGGCAACCTAGTCGAGAACGGCTTGCTGCAACTTTGTGACTACTTCCGCTTGCAACTTTGTTATTTAAAAAAAAGTACTGTTTGTCTGTGATTTTGCAGGGCAATGCGATGCTTCCACGCCGAGTAGCGAAGCACTACTGATAGAACCGTCGTGGCCACATCGGGAAGGCCAACCAGGTTGCAATCGAGCCCGCCTCGTCTCCGGTGTCGTCCTCGACGGTTCCCGCTACGTCTCCAGGTCCGCTGGCAGTCTGCGGAACCGTCACGAGTGGCTTGGTCCTTTTGCCCGGTTAAATGGGACCGCTCCTCGCCTTTCGCCTCGACCTCGAGAAGCGGTTCAACGATCGACCAGCCGACGTAGTAGCTCCGTAATCGCGTAGCAGTCCCCAGGTAGCACCTGCGACCTGGCCCAGGGTCTGGCCCCGCCCTGGCAATCTTATCAGCGACCCGATAAAGGCCGCAGACCGCCGCCTTATCGGAGAGCCATCCTACACGCGGCGAGGTCGAGCGACGAAGGTAGACCCCCGAGACACCTGTGCGACCTCCTCGGTCTCACCATTTTATAAGAACAATCACCGGAATAAACCTCATATCAAAGGAGAAAATATGAACATTCGAGTTAGCTTAGGATTTTCCCTGGACTGAGTATATCATTTTTGGTCTCATCGATCTTAATCATTTCCAGTGATAAGGCTCTCCAGGGGAGTTTTATCAAAGGGCAAGAAAATCCGCTCGAGTTACTTCAGGATCTCCACCGAGCCACTAAGACAATAGTCTTCACTGATATCGGTCTCACCAAGGGAACTGAAACTCCACCCTGGATTTACTTCAGCATCATCACTGGGCCATAATCACGTTCCACGGATTTATCAAAATTTCGAGTGATAATGGTCTGATCAAAGGAACCGAAAATTCGCCCCCGATTACCTTAATCATCGTCCCAGGACCACCGGTGGGAATTTCGGAGTTCGACTTTAAAAACACGTCGTTAGATTTAATCCTGAACTCTTGTATAAACTGTACACATGCGATTATAAAATTAAAGCGAACTCGTGGGCAGGCGCACCTGTGCCCGGATCGGAGCACCCGAGAGGACTACACGAAGGATATCTCTCGAAGAGTTCGCAGCTTCCCTGGACCGGGACCAGAAATCCTGCCTCTGGGTCCCACGGAGAGCGATTCGATCCCGTAATCGAGCCGGCGTTCTCTGGGTCTTGAAATTGCGCGTCGTCGGCCCGGCAGGGGAGCGCAATGACCCTCCTCCGAGTCCTGCTCGGATCTCTTCAGGATGAGTGGGAGAAGAGCGCCAGCAAAGAGAGCAAGAGGAGCACCGCCGACGCCGTGGCCGCGTTCGCCCCTGAAAAAGCAGGAAGTCAGACAAGGACGAAGAGAGTCGACGCCTTCGTGTGGGTGGAGGGGACCACGAAGAGAGCCCTACCGGCCACGCATTTCCCCTCCTCTCGGTAGAAACCCTCGGAGCAGATGCAGGTGCCGGCTATGCAGCTCAGGCTCTTCGGGTCCGAGGAGTCGTCCTGGTAGCACTCGTGGTTGCCCTCGCAGTTCTCGCCGAGACCTGGAAAAATACCTCTTCAGGGTACACTTCAGGGTCTACTCATTCGATCGACTTCGTACTTAAATTCTAAATACTTGCTAATGAAATTCAATTATCTGGAGGGGTGGATTTCATTTGCCAGGAGGTCAATTTCCCCGGCGAAAAGGGGAATTTGGAGCTCCTTGAAAATTATGAAAATCATATTAACTAGCGATTTTTATTTCCAAACGAATTTAAATCCCTTGCAAATGAAATTAACCCTTTCGCAAATCATGCTAGCCATGCGAAGGAGGGAATTTGAAATTGTAAAATATTGCTACGTATGTATGATATTATGTTAAAATACGGCGAAAATAATTAAATTCTGAAACCGGTGGCCGCGAACTTGTATCGTGTATCGTCACGGACGTGAATTCACGTCAGCGGTCGCGAATGTGTTAATATCCCCTTAACATTTAATCGACTTTTTTTTAATCGCAAACACCGATTAATGGACTTCCGGTCGTTAAGCTGTTAATACTCTCTTTCTGTGGATTTATAGTGATATCGTATCTCCAAAATAGATCACCCTTGGTGACGACGCATCTGTCTGTAGACACATCGAAGTGCTGGCCACTTCTGCAGCGGCAGATCTTGTCGATGCACTCTGCCCCGAGAAGATGCAAGCACTGTACCGACTCGGCACATTCGCTCTCGATTTTCCACACACTCGGCAAACATCTACGTCCATCCTGGCTGATCACCGAGCCCAGTGGACACGTGCACTTCCGGTCGTGCATGTTGCACTCCGCCTCGGCCACGTGGGCGCACTCCTGTGACAGCATGCACTCCTCGCCAAACTCTGCGAATGACAAGTATCATTTAAAAAAAAAATTCCCCCCGCAAAACGCGACTACATACACCGAGTAAAAACATTCTAACTGAACCAATGAAACATTTAGTTAGTCAAAAAAATAATTATTTTAACGTATGAATTTTATTTTGAATGACAAGTATCGTAAAAAAAAAAAAATTCCCCCCGCGAAACGCGACTACATACACCGAGTAAAAACATTCTAATTGAACCAATGAAACATCTAGTTAATCGAAAAAATAATAATTTTAACGTATGAATTTTATTTTGAATGACAAGTATCGTAAAAAAAAAAAAATTCCCCCCGCAAAACGCGACTACATACACCGAGTAAAAACATTCTAATTGAACCAATGAAACATCTAGTTAATCGAAAAAATAATTATCTAAACGTATTAATTTTATTTTAGGATCTCATCCGAGGACCTATCGTTTTCCAGCAGGTATCCTCCAGGAAGTGGTATTTTTCCAAGCATTTGCATTGTCCATCTGCACATCGAGAGTTATCAATGATCACCTTGCACTGTTCGTCATCCTGGCACGAGGACCCCAGGGACTTAACACCTGGATATGGAATATCAATAGATTATCATTACACAGGGTACGAGGAAAATTACTGCAAATATGCAATGGTACTAAATTATCGTTATGTATATAGGATGAAATTGCGTATGGTATTTGATTATTACTGTACATGAAATTTTTTAATTATGCGTAAGGCACCTTTAAGGCATCTCCGAGAGTCGCCGCTCTTGACGAAGCCTGTCCTGCAGGTACACACTTTCAGGATAGAGTCGCAAAAGCCGTTCGCCAGGTTGCAATCGTCATTCCTGGTGCATGTTCGTCCCACGAGAGAACCTGAAGAGGACGAAAGAGTCTCACCGTAGATCGTCTCTGAATTTTAATCTTTTAATTCATGTTTTTACAATTGAAGATCCGCACCTGATGCTCTGCCTTGCATTGCGATGGCGGGGCCCATTCCTGGACAGTCCTTCCTCATTTCCCGGTTCTCGTCGAAGCACTTGCAAACGAAGTCATCGCAAATTGCATCCGGTGGCATCTTCGGGAACGAGATGCACTGCTCGGTGGTTTGGCACGGCACGGTTATCTCTGCTCGGAAAAGGGAAATTAAAATTATAAATAAATAATTTTAAACTCTAACACGTGATTACAGAGGTTCTAATGAAGGTCTTGAAACATGGGAAATTTCATTTTTCGAAAAAAAAAATGTATTTGTCCCGGACATTTTTTTTAAATAAAATTTCATGAACACCATGTTGTTTTTTAGGGCTCTTATAATTACGTATTAAAGTTTCATATTATTCGGTGCACATAATTTGGCGATAATATGTATACAGAATGACACTTTCGTAACGCCTTAAGGACTTCCCTCTCAAGGCTGTTATCAGGCTAAATGTTATCGACTTTGTTTCCAAACTGTCGGGGAAGGACGACGAATTCCATCAGTACTTATGGTTTAGAAAAACCTATTTTCGGTGCACGACAAATATAGTCCTTTATAACCAGTCAGGCAGTTATCGGTGGAAAAAATATAATCTTCCAACGTCTGTTATTCCCTTTGTTAACGAGGAATAATCCAGTTGAATTTGAATTTCCGATTAGTACACTGATAAGAATCTATGATAATTTACATACATTTTAGCGCAGCTCATAACCTAAGTCTCACATAGATAAACATTGAATGGAAAAGTAATGAATTATAAAATGTATAAATATACCTAATATCTTATAATAACTGCATAGATGGAGTGTTTTTTATTATGTATAAGAGATAGTATAAAATTAAAATTAATGTAGGAATTATGGCTATCGGGCACTCTAGTCGGAACATTTTCTTTATAAAGGATGTATCGGAGCTGTGACCAAATTGTTCATTAGTGGTTTAATTATTCTAATTACCATGATATTCGCCAACGACCGTGCCAAGTACAAGGAGCGACAGGAGAACTGACAGCATTTTGACTTTCTCGGCTTTAAATTTACCAAAAATGGGACAATTGGTACACTTATCAATTCAAACGCGACTATCATAGGAGATGAACACAGATCGGATTCCTGCGAAGCACTGTCAGGGGAAAAGGAAGAAAGGACTGAAAGTTTGATAACCGAGAGCTGATAACGTTCACTGATTGGTAAATGAGAACAGCGATGTACTCGATAGGACATAATCATCTAGCCAATGGGAGCTAATTACCAAAATCAAAATTGAGATCAATCATCCGTTACAGTGACTACTTCTTGCGAAACGATTCCTACATTAAATTATTCTCTAAACTTCGCCAAGGAATTTCTAAATTAAAAAAAAAACATAGAGAAAAGGAATTCAAAAGTCCACGGGGAAATTTTGAAATTTGAAGAAAATTTCAAGGGAAATAACAGAAATTCATAAACTCCGCCACGAGACCTTTGAGTTTCACAAAGTGTCCTTAAATAGATAAATGGTACTACAAACTAATTGTATAAACTATATAAATATCTGCACGCCTTGTATTTTCAATAGTTCGGAGTAAGGGAGGTTGATTTTCGAAAATAACTCAAAACTAAGGAGGCGTAGGTGTTCGTAGGAAGTATTTAAAGCGGCGCGTATCGATCCCGGTAGGCGCATGCGCGGCATTATTTGCGTCCTCGTCGTCGAGAGTACCGGGAGGAAACAGGAGTTCCTCTCGAGCAGGGTCTTCGTCGTCGATTAAAAATTGCAGGTGCATCCGGATCCATGAATTTGGCACCAGGTCGAGTGGAAGTCCGCACCTGCAGCGACGCAGGTTCGCCCTCGATGTCGAAGACGGACGATAACCTGTCCAACAGCGATGGACCGTTGCTGAAGAAAAATCTCTGCCGAAACGGCAGCGACTCGAGGTATACAGTGAAGACACTTTAGAGACACCACGAGGACCTAAAAGTAAAGGAATTAATTTTACGCCTAATTCCTCAGTTCCGCCAAAGATGGTCTAGGGTTCCCCTCGAAGGACACCCCGAGGTACATCGACTCCACACAAGACGACTCCGACTTGTCTTCCACCAGGAAGAGATACTGTTTCTGGACCCTGAGCTGTGCGTTACTGATAGCTGGTTTATGCAATCTGCTAATCACCGTCACCATAATCGCAGTTCTCCGTGTCAGCCGGGGAATGGAGTCCTTGGAGGTGATCCCTGAAGAGAACCTTATCAAGTTCTACGGCAGAACCGACCTGGACATGGTGAGAACTGGGTCCTGATATCGGGATACAAGTGGATTAGTTTCATAAGTTTCATAAACGAGATATCTCTGATGCCACTTTCACATCGCCTTAATCTACAGGTAGTGTTCGTTAAATGAGGACCTGGGTGTTGATTTTTACATTTTCTAAGGTCTCCTTGGAGGAGGGTGTCTGCCAGGGATACGGCGACGAGCCTATGGAGGTATCTGGGGACGAGGCAGGAGTGCTGATGGCGTTTTCTTCGGATAAAAGGGAGGACCGTACCAGGTCCAGCGTGGAGGTCCTTCCAAATGGTACCACGGTGTCCAGGGTGGAGTCCTTCATAGTGGAGGACCCTCGTACAGGAGAGGCATACTTCTCCACGGACTTTCCAAATTTTGGGCTGCCGGCAGGTGTGGAGAACATCGACATCAAGATCGCAGAGACCCACCGAGTGACCTCTCCGGTGAACGAGAGTCTCATCTTCGAGTCCAAGGAGCGAATTTCGATGCACGGGGCTGAGGGAACGTTGTTGGAGAGCAAGGAGATCCTGTGGACGGCTGGTAGCGACATGTTCCTGAAGAGCGTGAACGGCAATATCGTGTTGGATGGGAAAAACGGAGCGACGATCAATGTCAAGTACCTTCACGTGGCAGCGTCCTCCACAGGCCAGGAGGACTCGTCAAATCAGTACAAGATCTGCGTCTGCATGCCCCAGGGGAAGCTGTTCCGAGTGCCGGTATCTTCAGGGGCCTCCAAACACGTCAACTGTGCCCATGTCACGACTACGCTCGAGAGCGACCCCTGTCTCTCCTGAAATGACTAATTTCAATTACTAACCGTTAAATTAAATCTGTCGAAGGAACATGAGGAAGATGCTGGGGTACACCGGGGCCTGACGAGTCCCCAAGACTGCCAGATTTACGCTCGTATCAATTTACTCGACACTTAACTTACAGCGATGGACAAAGTACAATGTGTTCTTCCTGAAACATTCGGTGGAAGGTGTCAACCGAAACGCGCCAGAGGACTAAATAATCAGGCCTAATGTTACGAACAAGTCGGAGGGTCTCATTTCATAATTTCACGCACAATATCATTCTGGAGACTGAACTATACTTATCAGCGAAACTCGCGTATTGTAGATATCGCCTGAGGGTGGAAACCGTTCATCATTGTACACTAAGTTGAAATAAATAATGAACGAATGTTGCGCGATTTAACTGGACGAATGGAGTTTGTAAGTTAGGTTAGGTTAGGCGGTCTCTGTTATCATCTCTTCGTTACTCTCCTCCATGTCCTCTTGTTGCTCCTGTTCGGTTGGGGGTTCGTAAGCCTTTTCTAGAGGACTAGCAACGACTCCACCTGCCCAGACACTCATTTCTACGGCTAACTTGTTGCTGCCTTCCAGCAATGGTCTGTAACCGCCATGAGCTAACACACGTAACAAGGTCTGAGCAGTCAGACACACTTCGTCTTGCTGTTCCAGGGTCATGGCGGTGTGCACTCGAATGTTTCCACCTTCGCAGGGGTCTGAAATTCCTGAAATTGAAATGTTACGAGCAATATAAATATAATTCAGAGTTAACATTTATTTTGACGTTCCATTGATTTAGGTAAGTCTACGATGCACACCTGCAGATCCAGGAAGGAAGAGTCCCGAAGCGAGAAGCTGCAGCACTCTCTTATACGCCTGGTTGATCGGTAAAGCTTGTCGGCTGGGATTGTTCATTATTGCATTATGCGCTAACAAGTCGAGCATCCACGGAGAGAGCGGTTCGAGTCCCTCGAATCTACTTCTTAAGTCTCGAAGCAATCTGATCAAGACTTTAATGCTGGAATGATGCGCATTTTCTTCAAACCATCTAGAGTGCCTGATTGCTGCCAAGTGTCCTGTTTGGAATAATTAGTTGAGAGATCGCAGAATTGTGGAACGAAGGTGTTTTGGGATCGAGTAATCACCTTGACAGATCTTGACATCCAAATGCTGATCAGACTCCAACTTGCGCAGGTTTTGGTGCAGAGTGGTGATGAGTACTCTCACGGTACCCTCGTTGTTGGATATATCGAATCCTCGTTCAGTTTGAGTCAGTCTGAACACTTCTTTGGGGTTCACGGTTTTCAGGTCCGTGAAGACCTTCGTGCCGAGTGCTTCCACTGCAGTTTTGGTCGGCAAAGTCTTCAGAATTACGACGATGTCAGCGACGTTGTGGCCCTTGATCATGGTACCCTTTTTAAAGCTACCGACTTGTCTCACTTCTTCCAATTGCTGTGCAGAGATTATAATTGAACGTTACATACAAAAACAGATCATTGCGAACATTAAATCACACGTTTACGGTACTCACACACGCATCAAAAGTTCCAGGCGCGACGATCAAGTTATCGAGAACGCTTTGCAGCTTGGTCACGAGATTCAAAATCGAAGTCTGCTCCTTCGGAGTAGGAGACATGTCCGTGTTCTTCTTCAAGAGCGCAGTCGTGAAGTCCGACTCATCTGGCGCTGGCTTCACCCGGGGGAAGGCACTCTCGCAGAGTGTGTAATCGAAAGGATGGCGAGGCAGGAACTGTTTCCTCTGAAAGCCCATGCCTCGTCCCATTCCGCCTCTTCCTCCACGGATCATTCCACCGCGACCACCTCGGACCATACTAGTTCTGAAACATACAATATCTCCTCGTAAGAACCTTATCTCAATCAAATTCTATCAAGCTAATCAATTACAGAGGATTAAATTTCATTTATTCTTCAATTATGCGAATATAACCTCACTCTCGCCTCAAGTTAACCATTCCTGCACAGGAAAACTCATTCCAAAATTGTGTTCACTGGATATTTCCTACATTTTATCATACAAGTTTTGTCTTTTAATCTTTTTGAATGAGATAATGTCATAGCAAAAGAAGCCGAACTTACCGAATAAAGCCGGTTGAGGTTTAATGATGAAAAGTTGAAAAATGGTCGTCGTTACGTTCACCTGGGAATGTTAATTCAATTCGACTAGTTTGAACTTACTAAAAAGTACGACAGAATAGGTACTTTCGACACGTTCCTGGTCCGATCGGATGAAACGGGAGCGGCAGCGTCCTGCAGGAATTAACGAGAATTGAGCGTCATGAAATACAGAGATGTTGCGGAACATACTCTTTCAGCAGCTGCCCATAATTTTTAATCCAGATAATGGCGCCATCTCTCGGAACTCCGCGGAATTAACCTCAAAATTACCGGCAATATCAATGATGCAGGAAAATGTAATATCAACTTCCGTAATATCTCGTCGACTCTGCCGTCACTTTATTACCCTGTCGGTACTCTGAAATTCCGGGGAAATTCCTGCCGGGTAAAATGAGAATCTTCATCACCGATCCTCCTGACACCTCTTCGATCATCTCACTTCTCGAGGTCTCTTTACCAAAGTCAAAGAATTCAGAAGTCTCCATAGAAGCCCTGAAGGATACGGAGGTTCGATGCTCGATAAATAGTACGCTCGCCAACGGATGGCGGCGCTGTAATCATCTCTCCATCTCTCTTAATCTTATGGCGATATATAGGGAATTGTATTCTTTCTTTATCTTACCCACAATTCTCGCCTACTATATACGTCTCTCTTCCTCCCGTGTGTGAGATATCGTTTATTACATATGCGATCTCACTTTACCCCCACTTTTAGCTTGTTAGCTAACTTTTAGATCATCAAGCGCTAACATAGAATCTGGGCTTCTATGGGACTTCTGAATTTTTTATTTAAACTCGGTAGAGTTTCGCGTCAAATACATATACGTGGCGATATGATAAATATTGTTTTAAATCTTCCTTTCGAGATGCACCTCTTTCGATTTTCTCCGGTCAGAAAATAAGTATCGGCGAAACTCCCGCTTCTCCTAGCTAATGGCTCGATTCGCCGGAATTTATGTATTTCGCCCTCGGATATAATTTCCTGATTCTCCTCCTGTCTACGGGGCGCGTTTCTCGTGCGGCGAGAACGCGGAAATTAAAGCGTCCCCGCCAGGTGAAATTTAAGGCTCGCCGCCATCACGGGGTTCCCCGTCAGGTAATATTTAAGGCGCCCCATTATCTCACAGGGTTTTCTCGACTTTGCAAACGCGCGAAATGCATGCCCGAGGGTGTTTTAAATGCGGAAATCACGTGCCTCGAGGATAAATCAGCATAAATCAGCGAGGAATGTGAAGGATCATCGCGCCGCCCTCGGGCTCTGGGATTTCCTAAACTAACTTATCACTCTATCCTTACTTGCGTCGGAAATAAAAATTGAATTCAATTGTTTTGCGATCGATGGCTTAATTATCTTTCGTTAGAATAATTTTTACGAATTAGGAGCTTGCCAGGAAAATTATTTTCCCTGTGTTTTATTTAATATTCGATTTTTAGAGTCGTTTTAGTATGGGGTAGGTTTGTAGGTTGACGACATACATCCTCACTCGCGTCGGAAACAAAAATTGAATTCAATTGTTTTGCGATCGATGGCTTAATTATCTTTCGTTAGAATAATTTTTATGTATCAGGAGGTTGCCAGGAAAATTATTTTCCCTGTGTTTTATTTAATATTCGATTTTTAGAGTCCCTTTAATATGAGGTAGGTTTGTAGGTGACGACATACATCCTCACTCTCGTCGGAAACAAAAAATAAATTCAATTGTTTTGCGATAGATTGCTTGATTATTTTTTGTTAAAATAATTTTCACGAATCTGGAGGTTGCCAGGAAAATTATTTTCCCTATGTTTTATTTAATATTCGATTTTTAGAGTCGTTTTAGTATATGGTAGTTTTGAGGGTGATAAGGGATGCATCTTTTTTTTTAAATAATGATTTTATTATGGTATTTGGAGGCGAGGAAAATTATTGTCACTGTTTTATTAAATTTTTTATTTCAGTCCCCTCTTCTGCGGATATCGAGGGTGATGGTACATCTGGGAAAGTTTTGGGGGTTGATGAGAGGGTTGAGGGAGGTTGGTGAGTGACGGGGAGCCCATTAGTCGGGGAGGATATTAATTAGCAATTTGCTCGGCGAATCGTAGGTAAACTGAAGGGATGGAGTCCCGTTCGAGCACATCAACGAAAACCCGTCGCCGAGTAATGTTAGATGAACATTTATCTATTAACATTGCATCCCATTAAATGTTTACATTTACCCTGTCAACATTTATTATAAGCCTCATGGAATATGAAATAATGAACAAAACAACTTGATTAGGTATAAAAAGTCATGAAATGTATGTATGGTCGCAAGACAATTAAGGTTTTATTATTAAATTCCAGATACAAAAAGCATTGCTTTCCTGTTTTATTCACATACTTTTTCATGAAACAATGGAAATAATGAAATAAAAGGAACCTCTCGCCCTTTCCTCGGAACTTTCGCCCTCAGCAAGGGAGGCGCGGAAATGGCATCGATTTCCCATCGGTGAAAAATTAATGGGGCCCAATAGGAAGTTTTCCTGCCAGTCTCCCAGCGGGAGCCAATATGAGAAACCAGGGCCCAGATGAGAGTCATTAATTCGCCATTGATTAACCCGGGAAAAGGGGAGAAACTTTCCCCGGTGACGAATGCTCCCCTCGTCGAGGGAGGCGCCGTTTGTTCCAGGCGGGGTTTTACACCTGGGGAGGAGTTCCTTTCCCGAAAAACTTTTCACTCCGGGATCGCAATTAAGATCCTCTATGTTTTACCTGAGAATTGCACGCAGAAAAGGTGCGACTTACTTGACGAAAGCGAGGAAACTCGGCTATTTCGAGCCGCGTGAAAAGCACCTTGGACAATGCATTTCCTCCCCCTACCTTCCTCTACACAATTCAATTAAAGTTCGAGACAGTTTCCGGCAGGGTGATAAGGCCTCCTGATTACGGTTGAGTGATATCGCTGTCGCTTACATTTCCGAACGCGCGATTGGTCGATTCGGGCTCGATAAAGGTGAGAGACGGGCCACCCGAGTCGAATGCATAAGGCTCATTTCCCCGTGACTATGTCCCCCGACTCTCGACCTAATGGAAGTGGAAGGACTGTTAAACAATTTTTATTCCATTATTCTTTATATGAGACTCACGTTTATTTATGAATGTGGGAAGTTTTAGGGCGTCGGGAAGTGAGATCTATATTAAGATCGTAATGCGAGGTCGTGGGTGTCGAAAGGGTGAGACCCCCCCGGGAGGTGGCAAAGACCGAGATGATATATAGACATGTATATATCTACACATCGCAGGGGAAGAGGGTGGTAATTTTCCCCGCAATATTCCCGGAAATTTATGGGTTATTCATTTTATGAACTCCTCCCCCCCACGTGCGTGTCTCTTAAGGCAGTGTCTCCATTAAGGGGCGAGATTCCGTCTTCCTCCTTATTCTCCGCCATCTTTATTTCCCACCTGCCTCCTCTCGGGGGGGATCCTGGAAAATTAATATGCACGCGTTGGAAATTTCATAAATCGCGATTGAAATGTTCCTCTCGGTGCTCCTTACTTACCTGGGAGGAGGGATCCTCTCGCGTTTCTTTTTCACCTTTCAAGGGGGACTTCCTTTGTCCGCCTGGACCTTTTATTTGGACAAATAAGTCGCGCAGCCGGGAATTAATTCCCCCTGGAATATAATGCGTCGACAGTTTCATTAAAAGCAGGCTCCAGGAAACTGGAGATAGCGGAGGCATCCTTTCTCCTTTTTTTTTTTCCTTCCTCAAAGCTGCCCTATATCCGTATCAGTTCTCCAGGGCTGACGTTCCGACGTTAATGAACTGGTTCCTTCTTTTCCCTCTCGTTTCCGTTTCTCGTCCACCTTGGAACTTTCCGCGTCTTTTCAGAGGCAAAACCTTCGCCTTTTTGCGGAAAAGGGGGAAAAAAAATACTGGACCATTATTTATTCAGGAAACGGGGAAGGACGACGGTCGGGAAATTTGAGGAAACTTGAAAAATCGACCTCGAAATTTATTTTATGCACGGTGACGAAATTTCTGTTATAGTAGTTTTTATTGTCCCATCCTCGCGATTTAAATGTTGGGTCATTATTAATTTAGAAATCAAGGAATGACAACTCTCGGAAAATTTTGTAATTTTATAGTGAAAAAAATTTCAGGAAATTTTAAAAATCGACCTCGAAGTTTATTTTATGTACCTTCGACGAAATTTGTGTTATAGTAGTTTTTATTGTCCCATCCTCGCGGTTTAAGTACTGGGCCGTTATTAATTTAGGAATCGGGGAATGACAACTCTCGAAAGATCTTTAATTTTATAGTAAAATATTTTCTCCTAATTGCAAGGCACTTTTCGGTGAGAAATCTTCACTGCACTTTCCCCTGCTTTTCCGAGTGTGCAATAGAACCTCGAATGGCACCGCCGAGGCAGCGGTAACGGGCTCGTTTGTTCCCCTTTTCCCCATTTCCGGTTTCCGGGTAAGAAGGGGAGGGATAAAGTTTGGCGTCATTTCCGTAACTGCCCTTCTCGATGGCCCTATCGGAATCAAGGCTTCTGGGAGTCGTTGTCAGTGACGGATCGGGCAGATTCGTCGAGTAAATCCGCCCACTGCGAAATCCCCTGTTCGAAATCGATAGGATTTGCATTACGCCATGCCCGTGGCTCCGATCACGTCTCTGATAAGAGATAGGTCTCGTGTTCCCTATTTTTTAAGGATTATATTTTTTAAGGAGTTTATTTTTAAGGATTATATTTTTAAGGATTATATTTTTTAAGGATTTTATTTTTAAGGATTATATTTTTTAAATATTTTATTTTTCAGGATTATATTTTTTAAGGATTTTTGCTGCCCTAAGTCGTCGAAAAATCGTTTTCGCGAATAATGCGATATAAAGCCACAGGTGACTTTATCGATACCCTCCCGGCGAGGGATCGATCTTGGAGCCGTTGTTTTGAAATTCCCACCGAATGGATTTTATTATCCTCGTCATTTTTTATTCCTGATGGAACGGAATATTGGCTTTTTTTTTATGACCTCCATTTTGGGGAATCCATAAATCCACTCTTGGTATCGCATTTGCCATGATAACACAGAGGTACACGTGGAAGCTGGGAAAATGGCGAGGTCACTTGATAAAAAATTAAAAATTAATATTTCCCGTATGAAAAATTGCAGCTCTTCGCGATGAAATTTGGGGGATATTCGAGAAAGATCTTTCATGGATAAAAATAACTTTCTCGAGGGGTGTCTTTAGGTCAGATTACATCCGAAGGACATTTATATCAGGAATCAATTTTTCAAACGAGGAGAAACTCTAAGATAATCGATATCTGATAAGTATCATTTTTCGAAGGGCTCTTTTATCAAGAAGCATTTTTTCTTCTTTGGAGGAAGAAAACAATGCATAGGTTATTAATATACGGTTAATTCCCGGCAGGACGCGGAGGGAGTCCTTTGCATCCCTCGGGGACCAGACCGGGATGATCCTGGGGGATTCGGGACTCCGGGAATCCCTTTTCCTGGGCCACCCTATGCGACCTTTATCCCGGGGTAATGTCCCGTGATAACAGACCCCACAATGGTGTCCTCCCTCCCCCGGGACCCGACCTCCCCCTCGGGAACAATTAATACCGGCCAACTTTTATTTAAACCCGCCATGTCGTCCAGAATTAGCGCGTCCACATTCCCTTCCACGTGCACGGATAGTCCCCTAAAGAGGGGTGGAACCCCGTTAAAAAATTAAACTGGCGACCCCCCTTTTCCACCCCATGGGGTGGACAAGTAGGAAGTCCTTTGATCCTCGTGCCTACGGGCTCGTTTGATGGGGATAAAAATTCCACCCCTCTTTTGTAAACACTGATTTAAAATGCGACCTGCAGGGGAAAGTAACCAGGGGAAATATAAAATCGAACAGGATTTTGAAGGGGCTTGAATTTCCCTTTTTATTTTTCTGGAAAAAAAGATAACACGATATTTTTCCACGAGAAATAAGAGATTTTTGCCTTTCGCAAAAAGTGTCACGTGATAAGGAACGCGTTTCGAAAGAGTTTGAATTTGCTCTCAGGGAATTCGACTTTTTTTTTGTTTCCCGAAAAAGAGAGATATAATTGAGATTTTCCTGCGGGGGGCGAGAGATTTTTCCTTTCGAGATTTTGGCTTTGGAAAAACATCCCAATGCGAAATAGCGGCTCTCTTTGATCTCCATTTCGGGGGAAGAAAGTGTTCCCTATGAGGTCCAAGATTAACAATTTATTGACTGGAAATTTTACACCAGTTTATTTATCACGATATTCTCGATTCCTCTCCGTTCTTCTTAAGTTTGAAAAAGGCTGGTAAACTATTATTTGTAAATGGAATATTTTATTCGAGGAATTATTTCCGTCGTTCGAGAGGATTGAGATCGACGGAGGGCGTTTATGGACATCTTGGAAATTTAGTATAAAAATGAAAATAGTAAATTGGGGGGTGGAATATTTATTAGAGGAAATATTTCCGTCGTTCGAGAGGATTGAGATCGACGGAGGGCGTTTATGGACATCTTGGAAATTTAGTATAAAAATGAAAATAGTAAATTGGGGGGTGGAATATTTATTAGAGGAAATATTTCCGTCGTTCGAGAGGATTGAGATCGATGGAGGGCGTTTTCTTCCCGAGATTTGCTTAGGGAAAATTTCCTGCTCCCGCAGGAAGGAAGAGGAAAAAGGGGAAGAGCGAGAGGGAGAAAAAAGCGGTCGGAAATCGAATCAATCGATGCATGGAGAATCAGACATGCGCCGATGTTAAATTCAAGAGATTTCCGGGTGAATTATTTTATCCAGAGGTCCCGTTTTCCTCTCGGAAACTCTTATCCCCATTCGTAGCCTTTCGTTCGGGTTTTCGATTTAATTTCCAACAGAGATCGCGGGAAAAACGGCCGAGGGAAATCAAAGCGGGGACGAAATCTATGAATAAGTTTTTATCCGATAAAAAGCAGGCGAGCTTTATCCCGTTTAAAGCTCGAAACGCCGGATTTTCATTTAAACCTCTTCCTCCGATACCCGATTTACGTTCCGCCGCAAAACTTGACTTCGGTCTCTTTCTAAAGAAGTGCACTTCGACGTTACCTCCGTTTTTCTTCTTTTTTATTTTTTTACGTCCTTTTACTTCCTGCTAACGAAAATCCACCGACTGGAGGGTCTTGACCTGACTTTTGAATTATACAGATTTTTTGACATTGTGTGGCTACATCGAAAATTGAATCTCCGAGATGTGCATTTATACAATTTGCATATTTTTTTAATCCCTGGAAACGAGAATTTATGGATTGGACCGTCTTGGCCCAGATTCAGATTTTTAATTAATTTATTCTCTGAATAGTCATTTTTAGAAGTGGAAAATTCATTTTCTGTTTCTTTTTTTCTCTCGAGACAGACGTTCGTTTCGTGAAAACGAAAATTCACAGTTTGGAGTGCCTTGGTTTGAAATTATGCAAATTAGCGAATTGGCACTTTTATTAGAGAATAATGAACAGCTGTTAAAAAAGTGGATACTTAGTTTTTCTTCATTTTTAATTGAATGAGTTCCCAGTGATTGTATTTTTCTTTTTTATCAATGTAATTATGAGAAAAAAAAATTAAATTCTCATTAAAGAGAAGTACACTTTGGTCGATCCTTTCATGGAAACGCAAAACCACGAACGGGAGACTCGCCATGAAATTACCCAGATTTTTAGCCACTGTGTTTCCCCTAGAGGGTAAAAATAAAAATTCTCCTGAGAATTTCCGCATTCAACCGGCACTTTAGCAGGCGGAATTTTAATTGTGCCCGCGGAAGTTCCGCAAAAGCAATTCAGGAGGAGGAACGAGAGAAAGAGCGGAAAAAGAGAAGCACCGAGTTGTCTGGGTTTCTCGATAAATTTTATTATGTAATATAAACTTATATGTTATGAGTCGCTACACAGAGCTACGTGCTAATTTCTTAAATCTAAAATGCACAGTTATCTTGTACATAATTATCATCGTCGTCGTCGTTACAATTATCATAATCGTCCTGATCGTCACTGTCAAAATCGTCATCGTCCACTTTTATTATCCGAAACTTGACACCTGTCAGTCATCGATCGACTGGAACCTCTTAGACAACAATCAGAACCATTTATAAATTTTTCCTAATTATTAAATAATAATAATAAAAAAAGAGTAACCGTCTAAAAATTCTTTGGTAATTTCTGCGAAACGAAAAAGTGTAACGAAGAATGGTCTGTCGATTTTTTCCACAATTTTCCGGAATTTATAAATCGTTCCTCGGTCCGATTTAATATCGCACGATAAATGATAATTCAGAGATTTAATTTTTTTTAAGCAAGAGTAACAATTTACTAGTAATTTATTTCGTGGATTTCATTTGGTAAAAAATCGGTCGTTGATTTTCTTGAGTTGTCTCGGCTCGATTTTTGGGGGAAAAAAATGACGGCCAGTTTATAACAAAAAAATTTGGAAAATTAACTCGAGAGTGCAATTGCTGAATAATTAGTATCTGGGAAGCTATTGGGTCACAGTAAGGCCTTAAGCTTAAGAAGTAAGGCAACCGACCAATCATATACAATATGTACGTTCTGAATTGACTGTATATCCTAAATTACGGTCGACTAATTTCCACCATTCGCTTTTTTATGGGAAACTTCATATTAATTGAACCCTCGCCTCGAGTCCTGGAAGAAAAAAAAAAAAAGAAATTCGAGAAACGGAAAGTTTATTAACAGTGACCACTTCTTTTTTTTCTTTTTACACGATTTTCATCGAGTGCCTTTCCAAATTCCTCCCGAATTTCGAGAAATTTTCGGTGCCTCTCAAATTTGAAATCAACACGACCCTACGATTAAGGAGTTACAGTTAAGCTTTAGTCGGTAATTATTATCGTTAAACTTTAATCCCTAAGATATAGTACACTCATCTAAGACGTACCCGATGATATTTTGTAAAAATCTATTAACCGCCTCAAATTTTTCAAAAGCCATGCGCGGTCGATTTCGGATCCTCCTGGGACGAAAATACGATTTCGTCCTTATGAATTCCATTTTTTTGTTTTTTCATTTTTTTTTTCATCCGTCGAGAAAATCCGAGATCCATGAACATTAGGCGTCCCAATTTTTCTGCAAATAAATTTATCCTCGGAACAGGCGAAATCAGCCTTTTGAAAAATGTCCCGAAAATTCGCAAAAATCTGGAAGACGATAAGGAGTGTTTTTCCTAAAACGCACGATTTTTCGAGGGCTGATAAGATCCTGATAATACGTTTACCGATTTACACGAGGAGCGTTTGAATTTTTACAAGGTTGGGGCCTAATTTTCTAACAATTTTTACGGTTTTCTCGGATTTTCAGAAAGGCCGAGTGTTCGTCCCGTTTTTGAGCGATCCTTATGATAATCGCGCATGTCCTGATAACGGGCGTTTTCGGATTACTCGCAATTTTAGCGGATTGTCAAACGTGTTATTGCAACGATCGGTCGTAAGTACAAGAGTACATTGTGTACATTGTGTACTTCCATGTCGAGAAATGAAAAAAAAAAAGAAAAAAAAGGGACGTTTCCAAAATGGCGCTCGTTCTCGCCCGTCAATTCGCGGATAATCCCGTCAGTAATTATCAAAAATGATTCATCGATTTTCACGTCACTCTCTGTTTAATTATTAATCAATTAAGACAAAAAAATAGCAAAATAAAATTTTGTTCGAAAATCTTTGAGCGATGTACATAATTTTTCTTTTTTAATCGGAGTTTGGATAATCAAATTTGATAATTTGACCCTTTACATTGCGATTTCCAGACAGGCAATTTTTGACACGAGTTACACTTGTCAAAATCAACACTTAAAGCGAGAAAGTCTCTCCCCACGCTTTGAGACTGTCACTCGGCATTTTGAATTTCGCGCTTCGCCCGCCATTTTGAATTTCGCTGAAAGTCCCTTATCAACGCGATGTTCCATTGGTAACGTTTTGGACACATTCCGAAAATATCATCGGCATTTTTCATCGATTTGAGGTCCTCCCAAACATTCAGTCGGGAATTAAAAATTATGCAAATTATTTCCAAAAAGTCCCTTATCATCGCAACGTTCCATTGGTGACACTTTAGACACATTTCTTTGGTATCTTTGGTATTTCTCCGAACCCATCGATCATCGATTTGAGGTCCTCTCAGAAATTCAACCGCGACTCAAAAATTATGCAAATTATTTCCAAAAAGTCCCTTATCATCGCAACGTTCCATCAGTAACACTTTAGACACATTTGTTAGGTATCTTTGGTACATCCCTGGGCCCGCCGACCACGAACATGGGATTCTATTTCGACTCGGTCGAAAATCCAAAAATCCTACAGATTATCCAGAAAATACGCTAATCTAGACTTAGTGCGTTAACTTCCAGCTAGTGAGAACTCTTCCTCGTTCTTACACTCCAAACCCGAGCTATGTACAGGGTGAATCAGGTGAAGGGACTCTCTTTTCGAAATTCCGAAGTTCTCTCCCAAAAATGGAAAAAAAAAAAAATGAATTCTCATAAAATCAAAGATTCTCCCTTAAGGAAAATCATCCCTTCCAGGGGGAGCTTTCGAGTTCTGAGCTAAATTGCATAATCTGTACAATTTTCAGGAGCCGGGAAAAATTCTGCCATTTTTGGGAGCCGAAAAAATGTCTGCCATTTTCAGGAGCCACCCTGGCGGCATTTTAAGGACGAGCCGTGTTCCTTTCGAATTTCCTTCTAGAACAAAAAAACGGGATAAAAGGAAACAATCGCCAGGAAAATCATCCCTTCCAGGGGGAGCTTTCGAGTTCTGAGCTAAACTGCATAATCTGTACAATTTTCGGGAGCAACCCTGGAGCCTTTTCAAGGACGAGCCGTTTTCGGAAGATCGCAGAGTTCGGCCATTTCGGACTCGGGGGATCCTCGGCGTCTCCTTGGGATCGAATTCGAGCTTCTGATGTCCTTAACCAGGATCTTTTCCAGGAGCTACCATTGATGGACGTCCTCGTTCGGCTTCTCGTTCTCCAGGTTGCAGGGGCTCACGCTGCCGCACCATTTTGTCTCCTTCAGGGGTGGACAGGTGGATCCACCTCGACGAGGCTTCACGGTGACTTTTCTCGTCCTTTGGGTTTCTCCTACCCCGCAAGTGCGACTGCAGGCACTCCAAGGACCCCATTCGCCTACCTTGCAATCCCGATGAGGTCCTGGAAAATCAACAGATTTTTTAATCCCGAAAATTAATTAATTCAATATCCATTTTTACAGGGAAAAAAAAAATGAAGAGGGAAACTTCTTATTTTTTATATCTTATCGCATTTTAAGGTGGCGTGAAGTTGGCATCTGGGGGTCAATTGTTTATGAAACCTTGTGTCGTTTGTGAAATTTAATTTTTTATGAAACTTTGTGCCCTTCAGGAAATTTCATTTTTTTATGAAACTTCGTCTGTGAAATTTTGCTTCTTTATGAAACTTATGTCATTCATATTATTCGCATAATTCGAACACGATCGTTTTTCAACGTCCTGCGAATGAGATTATTGAAGAATTAAAGAATTAAAAAAAATATACAAAAGTCCAATTCCGTCTACAGAATTTCTATTTTGCATTCTCTTGAAGAATACTCCGCCATTATCGTAGACGGATCTGAGGTGAAAATGAACTTCTTAAGAGGGAGAAAAAAAACTATGAAAAAAAAAAAAGAAAGAGGAAGAATCTTCAGGAGGTAAAGGAGCGAGCAAAGTGCCGCCCTTAAGACACCATTATGCAATCACCCCCCGCCCCCGCGAATTTCACTCGAGTAACCATATTACTCCCGTGCTTGGATATTTCACAAAAGTTAATGCGAGAGTTAATTTGCATTGCAGATGCGTATTAACTTCGCCGAGCAATTCGCGGGAATCTCTGAATTGGAGATTCGCGAGGACGTCCGGAAGTTCCTCCCTGGAGAGGACGGAAGGGGCCATCCCGTGATTTTCTTATTCTAGGAATAAGCAAGGAGTAAACGGAGTCCTTTCTTCAAGAAGAAAATATTTGCTTTAATCAAGAGAATTTTTGTCGGTTCAAGAAAAATATTTTATTCGTCGATTTTCTTAACCCCTTGAACACGTGGTCGACATATGGGCGAAATTCGTATGACCGTGCAGGCAATATTGGACCAAACGTCGGGCGCCTTTAGGCGCTCATAGTAGCCAAAGGGTTAAACTAGTCAAATGCAGTCGATCAAACGATTCGGTTAAATGAACCGAATTTTGTTATCTGCGTGTCCTATTTTGACTTTTGGACGTAAAATGCCGTGAATAGAGGGTTCTTTCCACCCTGGTGAGTTCCTTGGGGAAGGGTTGCTCGATCGGCCTCGTCATCTTCCCCGAAAATGGCCAAAGGGAAATCGCGCCGGTGGAAGCGGGGAAGAATCGAAAAGAGGAAACAAAAAGTGAAGAGAGGGAGGAAGGACGAGGGGGGGTCTCCCCGAAAAGGGGAGGACCCTTTGACCGGCCACCCGGGAAACGCGCCTATCGAAGGAGCCATCTTTTGCGATAACTTTTGTGACAACGAAAAAAAAAATGGAAAAAAAGGGAAGTCCCTGATCGACCCTAAAAGACCCTTTGTAAGGGTTAATCGGGAGTCCTCTACCGAAGCCTTTCTTAGGGGTGCATCGGGGGTCCCTTACTTCCTTTTGCAAAATCATCCTCTTCTCCTTTCCCACTATCGGCTTTTCCTTTTTCTTGTAAAAATAACCTACACTTGTTAAAACGAAGAAAACCACTTAACTCGCGGCAGATTGTACCGAATATTAAAACAATTTGGCATGTTTGAGAAAAATATTTTGTTTGTCGTCCGAGACATTTTTTTAAATACGAAAAACGATTTAACTCACTGATTCTCAGGTGTTCTCCGTTCGGCAGTAGCCTATGCATTCGACCGAAATATAATGTTTATTGTCTGAAATATTATTTAAAGTAAGAAAAACGATTTAACTCACTAATTCTCAGGCGTTTTCCGTTCGGCGGTAGCCTATGTATTTGACCAAAATATTCTGTTTATCGTCTGAAATATTTTTAAAAATAAGAAAAACGATTTAACTCACTAATTCTCAGGCGTTTTCCGTTCGGCAGTAGCCTATGGTGTTTCGTCCTCAGCCTGTGCAGCCGTTCGCCGTCCGCCATGTTGGTTCCGTTCGCCTTCCTCTGGAAGTCCTGCAGGATCTGGACCCTGTAGGCTTCTGCAGGATTGGGGTTCGTGTTTCTCCGCAGATACCAACTGCCCCTGTTCTCGAAGGGCGTCCCTCGGGACTTGGTATCGCTCGTGTATTGCGGCACCCTCGTAAAAGGATGCGAAGGAGGTGTCGAGAGGAACCTCCCATGTTTCGCCATGGAGCCTTCACTTCCGGTCATGGCGCCCTTGTTATCAGGGGGATTCGTCACGGGCGGTCCACTTCCTGCAGTCCAGTACCTGAAGAAATTAATTCCAACGAGCCCCACATTTAATTTCACCCCTTGAGCGGCCATTTTGGTCCAATATCATCGAATCAGAAATGTGTAAAAAAAAAATCTAACGTCACTCATGGTATCATAAATGCGTACAAAAAACATAATGTCACGTTATCGTATCATAAATTCCCCAGATTGCAGGTGCAAAGTGCAGATTTATGAATCGAACCTGCATTTAAGGGTGAATTTTTTTTTCCGCGTTCTCTGATAATTTTCCCCTAGGGCGTGCAATTAATCCCGAGGATACTTCAATGTTTCTTGCTCCACTAGAGTCGCAAACTACAATTGCAAAAACCTCCCTCGACTTCCCCCCCCACCCCACTGGGTCAAGGTGAAAAGTGCACCCTCGAGATTTCCACGCAACTTCGATAAAGTCGACCCTGGGAAAGGTTTCCGTCACTTTTCCAATACTGAAGTTGGAATTTCTCCCTAATAAATTCCCCTCACCCCCGGTTAGATATTCGGGATATCAAACACACCCTGCAAGCTAATATTCTCCCCTTATCATATTTTTTAAAAGTTTTCATGTATATATATATATATACATGACACTTTCGTAACACCTTAAGAGGGGGCAAGACATTTAACGTCAATGAACAAGGGCGAGAAAAGGGGTGAAAATGGTTAGGAGGGAATTTCATGTCGACCCCCCATGAGGGGGGGTGGGGCACCCCTTTATCGAGGTCGATCGACGATCGGAAATAAAAGTAAGGGCGATAAAAAAGGCTCAGCCCCAAGCTTGACAGTCAATAATGTCGGATGACAGGGCGACTGCCTTCAAGCCGGAGTTTATTTCGAGAGCACCCGATATTACTCCGAGGGGATCGCCCGGGGCGATAATATTGATACCACGGGAAATCTTATCAGCGAGGGGAGCCTTGCCAATTACCCGGGAAATTTTCCGCCGATCGGGGGGGATTTGATCAATTTTTAGGAGGTACTTAATGAAGGGTGAAATGATTTTACAGGCGGTATTTCATTTTGGAAATCAATTGACGGCTGGTGATCGATTGTTAATGGATAATTTGTAATGGGATTCGTAATGAAAATGGAGGGCATGTGCACAGGAGCGGTTTAAATCTGACAGTTTGTAATGACAGAGTAAGTGTAAAGATTCATGACTGAAAAATCATGTTCCTAACGAGAAGTGCATAAAGCGCAAGAATTTTTATAACTGTAATTACAGATTAAAAAAATATAAATGATTTCAAAAATATAAAGATGATTATCGTAACCCCGATATCAAAGCGTGGTGACGTCGTAAATCCTGACGGTGGAAACAGGGCGACATTCGGTGGGAGAAATAATTTTTCGCGGATTTTTCCCGGTTTCCGGAAGCCGCCTCGGGATCGAGTCGGGACCATTTCCTCCCGGAAGCCCCGGGGAAGCCGAGTAAATAAAAATCGGGAGAAACGGGAGCCCTGCTCCAGAAACGGGGATACATGGCCGAGTGGCCCGCGAAAGGAGGTTCCCGCGGATTAGCCGGCAATTCGGTGGAAATTCGGGGAAATGTCGAAATGTCGAAAAAGCCGCACCCCCCCTCCCTCGATTAGACATAACCGCGGAATTCCACTCGAGTAGGCCAATTTCGGGATTTAATTGGCATGCCTGCAGGAAAAGGGGTGCACGGAGTGACGGGTCCATTACCGGAGATAATCTAAAGGGCTGGGAGAACAAGGAGAGACAAAGTAAATTGTTACAAATCCTTAAAATGTGAAAAAAAAAAAGGGAAGAAATTAAATTAAGCGAATTGTGGGGTACGATATACCTCGATGTATAATATACGTATTTTCAGATATTCGGATAAAATTCCGAAATTTCTTCCGAAGTGAGGATTTTTTTTCTACTCTTTAAGGTGATACGAAAGTGTCAATCGTTCGTGAAAGTTGTTTCCGAAATGAGTGCACCGAATAATTTGCAACTTTAACAGGTGGTTATGGAAATTCTAACGAAGGTCTTGAAACTGAGGAAATTTCAATTTCCGCAAAAAAAAAAATTTCTTTTTGGTTCTTGTTCGGGATAAATGTAACATTTTTTAATCGAGAGATGAAATTCCGCGAGTCTCGAGACCTTCATTAGGACATCCATAATCACCTGGTGAAGTGTCAAATGCACCCAGTTTGTAGAAAAGTTTGATATACATTTTTACGTTTTATATATGTGTATATAGAACGACCCATTTTTATCACTTAAGGCCTCGATGTTTATGCAAATTAAGGTCACCTGAATTTCTGAAAGTCCATTTCCCTCCTCTCCTCGGCAATGGCCTCGTTAAGGTCTCGATTAGGGTCCGTTCCACGAGGAGTTGGGCTGTTCCCGAGGACGTTCTCTTTGCTGACGAACTCCACCTCCACCACGTCGTCCTCGTGGTAGGTTTCGGTCAGGGTGTACTCCCTCATCTGCAAAAGAAAAACGAGAGAAATGAACGTCGAGAGGGTGTAACTTCGATTCGGGGTGGACACGCTTTGCGGTCCCACAGGAATTGGATGCGTTTCCCGAGGGATCGTTCATCGAGGCCGCGCGCGGAAAACCGCAGGACGCGTTTCATTAACGCGGAAGAGTGCGGTCGGGCGGACGCGGGACGGCCGCGTCAACTCTGCGGTTCGCCCGCCATCGAACTCCGGTGCTTAACTCGCTGGTGCATTACGCAGGTCATACCGATGCATTTACCGGTGCATCGAGGCTCTTGAGCTTATCAGTCCTTTCCTGCATTCGATAAAAAGCTGCCTTCATTTTCTGGAAAATTAATTACCCAAGAGGTTTCTGCCATGATTTTTTTACGATGTTACATTTATTTGCATCGATGCATTTACCGGTGCATCGAGGCTCTTGAGCTTATCAGTCGTTTCCTGCATTCGATAAAAAGCTGCCTTAATTTTCTGGAAAATTAATTACCCAAGAGGTTTCTGCCATGATTTTTTACGATGTGACGTTTATTTGCATCGATGCATTACGCCGGTCATACCGATGCATTTACCGGTGCATCGAGGCTCTTGAGCTTATCAGTCGTTTCCTGCATTCGATAAAAAGCTGCCTTAATTTTCTGGAAAATTAATTATCCCAGAGATTTCTGCCATCATTTTTAATATGACGTTTCTTTGCAGCGATGCATTACGCTTGTTACATCGCTGCATTTCCTGGTGCATCGAGGTCCTTTAATTGATTAATCGCTTCCTATCATCGGTGTAAAGCCGCCCCGATTTTTCGAAGAACATTTCACCCCATCCACATCGCCCATTACGGAACTCCTTTCATTCGGAGTACTCTTAGAAAGCATTCGGCGTTAAATTGCACTCGGTGCATCGGCATCGGGGATTTCTCCTTTTCTCGGGGTCCGGCGTTAAATAAAAATCGCGACGATTTCTCCCAAAAATACCTCGTCCCAATTTCGTTCCCCATTCGAAGAAGCCCTTTATACTCGAATCGCTCCCGGAAACTGCATTCAGCTGCATTCGATGCACCGCGCCGACAATTCCACCCCCCTCCCCCGTCCGCGAAAATTCATGTCGAATATTTATTTCATACATTTTGTATTTTTTTTTGTTTTTTTTTTTCCCCATCCAAATCTACGACTAATTTAATGGATAAAAATTAATTGCCAGCAGAGAGGAAACGCACGAGTCCCTCGGGACTCCCAGGGTGTCAAAATGCCCCCTCCCGGAATTCCCTCCCCACGTGTAAACGACACTCTCGTTCATTAGCGCGCAATGTTGCTGAAACCTAATCTATACACGTACAACACGAACCTATACGTTGCATCTCTGGAAACGCATTGTGCAGTATATGCACCGCATATGCACCCCTAGTGGGGGTGGAGGCGATCGGTATCCACTCTGCATTTAGCTGGGGAAATTCGAAATATAATCGCATAAATTCCATCCCCCAACCCCCGGTGACAGTTTTTGGCATGCTGACAGAAAAACCGCACCCCGACTGCACCGCGGGTCTTCCGCGTGCAGTGTGTGTACTTGGCGAGTGACTCACCCCCTGCACGGGGGTGGGACCCCCCATGGTGCGTCGATTTACGAGAGAAAAAAAAAAGTCTGGAAAAATATCCAATAAGTAACGAAGGAAAATAAAGTCTGCATCTTTACTGCACTTTGACTATCTTAAAAAAGTATCTACTCCCGTATTTCGTGCTGCACCCCTTTAAATTACAATAACCTGAAATTAATTTCGCAACGAAGAAGGGGTGTTTGGAAAAAATCCATCCGAGGGAGGAATTTTTTCCGGGAGGAGTTTCGACAGTGGCGGTCGAGAGGGATGGTTAGGGGGTAGTTTCTGGGGGGAAAAGGGGAGACATCGATATCAGGGCTAGAGTAAAGGGATGGAAACACGAGGAGGAAGAGGGTTACAAAACCCACCCTATATCACCTTGTGGTTTCACTCGCGGTCTCGGGGGTTGGCAGGACAGGGGGTGAAAGCGAGGTGGCTTCGACCGCCGTCCACTAAACCACTCCTGGAATATATTATCCATGGTGAGGGGGGGGTGGAGGACGTCTGCAGGGGGTGTCGCCGGAAACACCCCTCGGTCCAAGGGACGCTCGTAAATCCCGAGGGCTGCCCACGAGTTGGGATTTTCCAGGGGATGATGTTCTCGACGACTTCGTTTTTTCCTCCACCCCCCACGGGGGCAGGCGACAAATGGGGATGACTCGGGCCGAAAGGTCGCGTGCTGTTCTCCGATGGGGGTAAATGCGGCTAAGAGGGTTGGATCCAATTTTTAAGGGCTAAGGCCCGATTTTCATCCCTTGAGGAATCGTCTTGGAGCTCCTCCTTTGGGGATGCTCTGGTTCCACTTTTTATGGGACTTGACGAGGTGCACCCTTAACTCGAAAAACTCACCCCGGGGAAAACATGACGCCGGTTTTTCCGCCGCATTTATTTTATCCACTGCGCTCTCCTGGGCTCCGTGAATTTACCGATCGATCGTGATTTATTATCCCCCGGGAAAGATTAACGAGTGAAAGATTTAGGAGGGAAGAAAATGATTTCGTGGACCTCGGGCTGACCAACGCGAGACTGATACTACTAGTAGTGGCTCATCCGTCACTTGTCGGGCGGGATGGAAAAGTTGGCGGCGGTGGGAAAATTATTCGATCTAGCTTTTTCCTAGGCCTGGATGGTGGGATTAAAAGAAGGGAATGGGATTTTAGAGAAAAAAAATAAATAATGGGATAGAAACTTTGTTTGACGTCCCTGTTTGACTTAGACTTGCAGTCACTTCTTGGACGGGATGGAAGTGTTGGTAGTGCTTAGAAATTATTCGATCTAGCTTTTTCCTAGGCCTGGATGGTGGGATTAAAAGAAGGGAATGGGATTTTAGAGGAAAAAAAAAAATAATGGGATAGAAATTTTGTTTGACGTCCCTGTTTGACTTATACTTGCTGCGCAGTTTTAGTCTCAGTACTTAGTACGTTAGTACATTAGTTTTCAATCTTAGTACAACTCGAAATGTTCTTTGAGACCATCAATCAATGTACATCGTAGGAAATAAATTAGAAAACGAGAAAAAAAATTCTCGGTTAACAGCGGACTGGTTGGCTAACCACTGGTTAACCGCAGTAGTTAATCCGTCACTCGTCGGTCAATTCAGATATCGTAATAGTGTTTAAAATCAATTTTATTAGTTTTTAGTACATCTCGAAATGTTCTTTAGGGCCATCGATCAATGTATGTCGTAGGAAATAAATTAGAAAACGAGAAAAAAAATTCCTCGGTTAACAGCGGACTGGTTGGTTAACCACCGGTCAACCGCCACCACTCGCAGTAGTTAATCCGTCACTCGTCGGACGCGTTTGTGGACCAGGCGGTGCTCTCAAAAAGCGATCGATTAAATCTTCGACAACGTATGGGGAGGGAGGGGGGTCTCTCGTATCCGAAAATAACGACTTGATTGGCAACGGCGCGCGATTAAATCGGCTCGAAAGAGGCCACTCCCCAAATACGGATTCCGATTTTCCGGGATTTTCCGGAGCGACAAATGGGCGTATCAACAAATCGACTTTGTCTCTCCACCCTCCCGAAAAATATCCCCTTCGGCAAATTACTCGAAAAGCATTTAAAGAGTTTGCTCAGTGACGTAGTGGAATTCCGGGGAATTCTTGGCGTCATTATCAGCGATCGATGGAGCGGGAATAAATATGAACCAATAATTAAATCCCCCCAATTTCCCGGGAAACTGACGTACCAGGTCCGCTCGGAAGCCACCCCCGAGCGAGCAATTAGTAATTAATTTCCCGGTTAAATACAATTTCGACCACTCCCGCGAGTCGAGGTCCCGAAACCCTCGAATCGATATCACCAATAACGCCGATAACGTTGATAACGGGGTCGATCTCGACATACCGGAACCAAGGGGTTCCCTGCCTGGACATTCGTCTTGCGGTCCCTTATCAGCTCGCGTTGACGTCGATAAGGGGTCGCCTCGATTTACGCGCTCCCTAATCTTCCCTATCTCGCGTCCTGGTCGATCCCTGCCTTATCGAGGAGACTCTCCTCGTCCTATCACGGTAATTCATCCCTGGTTCCTGGATCCTGGTTTCTACTTTTTGGTCCCTAGGTTCCCTAGTTCCTGGTTTCTAGTTCCTGGTTCCTATGCATTCCCTAATCTTCCCTATCTCGCGTCCTGGTCGATCCCAGCTTTATCAAGGAGACTCTCCTCGTCCTATCACGGTAATTCATCCCTGGATCCTGGATCCTGGTTTGTACTTTTTAGTCCCTAGGCTCGTACCTGGTACCTAGGTTCCCTAGTTCCTGGTTCCTATGAATTCCCTGATCTTCCCTATCTCGCGTCCTGGTCGATCCCTGCCTTATCAAGGAGACTCTCCTCGTCCTATCACGGTAATTCATCCCTGGATCCTGGATCCTGGTTTGTACTTTTTAGTCCCTAGGCTCGTACCTGGTACCTAGGTTCCCTAGTTCCTGGTTCCTATGAATTCCCTAATCTTCCCTATCTCGCGTCCTGGTCGATCCCTGCCTTATCAAGGAGACTCTCCTCGTCCTATCACGGTAATTCATCCCTGGATCCTGGATCCTGGTTTGTACTTTTTAGTCCCTAGGCTCGTACCTGGTACCTAGGTTCCCTAGTTCCTGGTTCCTATGAATTCCCTGATCTTCCCTATCTCGCGTCCTGGTCGATCCCTGCCTTATCGAGGAGACTCTCCTCGTCCTATCACGGTAATTCATCCCTGGATCCTGGATCCTGGTTTGTACTTTTTAGTCCCTAGGCTCGTACCTGGTACCTAGGTTCCCTAGTTCCTGGTTCCTATGAATTCCCTGATCTTCCCTATCTCGCGTCCTGGTCGATCCCAGCTTTATCAAGGAGATTCTCCTCGTCCTATCACGGTAATTCATCCCTGGTCCTTGGATCCTGGATCCTGGATCCTGGTTCCTGGTCCCTAATCCCTAGACCCCCGCCTAACCAGACCCTAGAGACCCTATACAATCCGGCATATCTTCCTGGATATACAACCTCACGTACTCGCGCGTGATATCACATTATCACTAATAGCGAGCCCAAGTAATTTCCCGGAAGCTGAGGTTGCAGTTGCAGGTGTATCTCTCTCGGTGATAAGGGATCCATAAGGCAAAGAAATATCTTGTTTATTCAAAGAGCAATTATTTCCCCAAAATGAATTCCAATAAATTGGGCTCAACATTTCTTCGGGATGATGACTATTTATTTCAGTTCACTTGAATAATTATTTTTTCCGCGACAAAATATTTCTTTGAATGAAATTTCGACTTCTCTAATTTTAGACATACCATAAGCCTTATCTTATGTACGTATGTCATCTGAAATTTGAGTATCCCGAATTTTCCTAGTTTCCCATGTTTCACTCCGTACATTTTCGATCACCTCCTCGGGAGTGGCATCCCCATTTCCCAGAGAGTCCAGGTTCTCCCCAGGGAGAGATATCGAAACTTCTGTCCTGGATCTGGGACAGATCGAGGAAGTGTGGAAGCAGAAGTGGATCGGGGTTAGGATCGTTCGAGCGAATGAACGGGAGTGGAAGAGATAATTAGCCGGTTAACACGGGCTGCCGGCTCCTCGAATCTCGTTAGGTATCTGTGTCTCGCTCGCACTCACGGGTCGGCGCCTCGCTCGGTCTCTCTCGCACTCACGGGCGCGGGCTATCCCGGCGCAGTCTCCCTTCTCGAGCGTCGGGACGCCAAATAAGAAACATTCAGGCCCTAAGGCAGACGTTATCCGCCTCGGAGGCGTCGCGTCGCCTCTCTGGAGATCCCGTGAATAAATATTGACGGGAAATCGAGACGGAGATCCTCGGAGCAGAAACTGGAAAGCACCTTCATCGCCCCTTTCCTCAGTGATAAGCGCGATAAAAATTAACCGAATAATTTCCATCCCGATTTCGTCGCAATTTTCCCGATTTTTCCCGTATTCCGAAATTTCGGATATTCAAAGTCCCAAAATTTCATAGATTTTCCGCTTATCAGTTCTCATTACCTTTGTGAAGGTCAGGGTTGCGATTGTCGGCAGGTGCAGCAGATTAGGGTAGTAAAAGCTTCCCGCGGGATGGGCAGGATATCTGGAGGAGATTCTATAGGCGATTCCTTGGGGCTGCGTCGGCCAATTGGCAGCAGTAAAGGTGAAGCCGTTATCAGTGCCTCCGTCAAGGGGGTCCAGCTACAAAAGATGAAGCTTATCAACTCGACTGAGAAAAAAAAATCCAAATGACATTAATAAGTCTTCCTCAATTTTCGAATGAAAATGTCTAAAGTCAAAATTGACGTACTCCAGTGGAGTACATTGGCGATCTCGATGCATGATCTACAGTATATGATTAAAAAAAAAAATTCGGTAGAGCTCCGCGCCAAGTACATTGTACTAACCGTGTACTTAACGCCATTTCGTGTCGACAAATCTTTATCTCCCAGGAGGGAGAGCCATGTTTGGTAATAATTAAAATTTGGAAATATGATTGGAATAATTCTGAAATTATTCTGAGTTGAGTTTACCTCGACGGTGACGGTGTCGACCCAGTTGCCTTCTACGCAGAGTTGAAAAGAGTCGACCCCGACGAACCAGTCGGGGCTGGGGTTGATCCTGGCGAAGATGCTGACAAGACTGTGGTTTCCGTCTAGAAAGGCTCTAGCAACACTGGTGCCCTCACCCTGGGGGATTGGGGGACCCGTGAAGGAGTGTAGAGTGCTGGGGGAGTCACCCCCCACGTCCAGTCCGTCCGCTCTTCCGGTCTCCACGTATTGCCTCGCCCCGGGTGACAATCTCTCCCCCAGGCGGTACAGAGTATAACTCGAGTCGTGGGTTCGGCCTGAAAGGCAGAAAATAATTCCCCTAAAAAATTTCTCCCGATAATTGGACATTTTAGATGCCACGAGTCTTCAATGCCGCGTTCGAAAATAAATAAGTGCATTACTAATTAACATAGATCTCTAAAAAGAATTATAATCTGACATTGCACTTTATGGAACTACCGGGTTGTATTGAAATTAATTATTGGCCATGATAATGTCACGTATGGACGTTCGTTATTAACCCCTCGGCCGCCATCTTGGATGCCAGGATCGTTCAACTGGTAAAATAAGTAAAAAATAAATATACCGAGATATTAAATAAGTGCATGACTAATTAACATAGACATCTAAGAAGAATTATAATCTGACATTGCACTTTATGGAACTACCGGGTTGTATTGAAATTAATCATCGATCATGGTAATGTCACGTATGGGCGTTCGTTATTAACCCCTCGGCCGCCATCTTGGATGCCAGGATTGTTCAACTGGTAAAATAAGTAAAAAATAAATATACCGAAATATTGAAATCTGACTTGAGGTAAAAAATCGGAGATTATTTATCTCGAATCCGAAGGATAAGCAGAGGCTCGAGGGTCCTTCGGGAAGAGGGATGCTGGGCTGCAGGGGGTCCTGAAGGGAATCCAGTCCTCGTGTTAGAGGATCGTTAGCGACTTCCCCCTCTTCCCTGCATCCCGAAATGTCCTCTCTGGACCACCTATCTCGCAGCATCCCTCCCTCGACTTCGTCTCTCTGGTCGAGATAGTCGAATTAATGCGGGGGAGAAATTTATAGCCAATTAATGCGCGCCACTCGATTCCTGCAAGCCAGAGGGAATCGAGCTTGTCCTTGTTTCCCCTCCTCATCGCCCCCCTTCGTGAAAAATGTCCTTAAGGCTTTGACATACCTCTTCGCGGTTCCTGCGAATGGACCCGCGGGGCGATAAAGTTTCAGAAAAATAAATAAGCATGATGAAGTAGAGGAAAAGAAGGAAAAAAAGAACATGTACGGTGGAGGGAACTTAAGGAGTTCATTAATTCCTATATATTTTTTTTTTTTAATTATAATCAAGAATTTGCAGGGGAAACGAGAAAACACGATGTGGCTTATTTAATGTTAATCATTAACTGGCGCAGGAATAATTCTTTTTCACCGAGTCGTTTTTTGGGAAATTCAGGAAGGATTTCGGAAAGTCTCCGAAGGATATATGAGAGCGTTGCTCCGATTTAATGAAATCTCACTCGGGGAAGGGGTTCCTGTTTTTCTTGGGGGTTCCTAAAGGTAGCTTTGCGACCTACGTAATTGAATCCCTCGGATTGGCAGGACCGTCGGGACGTAATTTATGCGCGGAAAGTTTTCACCCTAGGTCCGGGAAAGTTTCCAAGGATTAGCGCGATACTCGGGATCGAATTAGCGAGTCCTTGATCGAGTCGATTGGAAAGTGGCGGATCGATCGCTTTCCACTTTTCCCGATAGCTTGAAGGATTCAAAGCCTTAAAATGAATATTTATAATACTTTTCTCCAAATTGGCCGCACGGAATTATTTGAAACTTCAACGCGTGATAATGGAGGCCCTGATAAAAAACCAGCCAATCCCATGAAAAGTGGATTTCTTCCAGAAGGGAATTTCAAATCCTTGAAAAGTCTAAGAAAATTGTAAGGAAAAATGTTTAAATTTGCTTTTAGGTTTCAGAGAGAGGGGGAGTTAAATCGAGCAGAGAGAATCTGAGGGGAAAATCCGTGGAAAATGGGATAATTGCTCGGCGTGGGGGGTGGGTTCCCCCCGTCCACCCCCAAGACGCGGATTATCTCGCGAGAGACCCATTCGCTGATAACAGAGGGAGTCTCTCGAGTAAATGGCATTCGGTGAATAGACCGAGGAGTTGACCGAGTCTTTTGATCCGAAATCGCTGCTGCCCCCCCCTTGCCACCCCCCGCGAACTCGGGCGCGATTCCGAAAGCTCTTTACAGCTGATGAAAAATTCCGAGCAATTTGGCCAGAACAAAGGACTCTCAGAGTACAATGTCGAGCTTGCATTTATCGAAGGGTTCCTACGAGGAACTTCTCACTCGTGGATGCACCCTGGACCTGGGGGGTCTTGGGGTAGGGGGTGGAGGTCCCCCAAAGTTGGGAAGCTCCGGATATGTCCTCCGATCGTTTCCTTGGGAAGCTCATGGGAGGAAATATTGGAATGATTTAATATTTCTTTCGGAAATTCATATCTTGGCTCTCCATTTCAATTGTCATTTTGCATTTTGCGTTATCATTTCGCGTCCCTCCAGCCGGTTTAATTTCTGGATTTGAATCCGAATTTCCATCGCGCCTTTCGCTCCTAATTATTATTATCCACTTTGCATCTTCATTCCATTATCCGAATTTACATCCCGAATTACGAGCCCTTATCGCTCTGCGCATTTCGAAGAAGAAGACGAAGAACGAAATTAATCTTTCGGAAGGGTTTTTTTTCCTTCGTTTTTTTTTTTTTTCATGAAAATCGTAAGAAATCGTTTAATTGTCCTTATTAATGCCCACCTAGTTTTCCACGTCTCGGAGAAAATATTTATAAACAAATACCCTTTTTCTTACTTTCATTTTTTAATAAAACTCTTGAGAATGATTTTACATTGTTTATTACCGGTATGAACGTCCTGGATTATGATCTCGCTGTAGGATGAATATATTAATCCAAAGTGAGCTTTTTTAGGAAGGGTGATTTTTTTTTTCGCTTTTCACGACTCGTAACGAATTCATTTTCTGATAAAACTCTTGAGGATGATTTTACATTGTTTATTACCAGTATGAACGTCCTGGATTATGATCTCGCTGTAGGATGAATATATTAATCCAAAGTGAGCTTTTTTAGGAAGGGTGATTTTTTTTCTTATTTTTCGCTTTTCATGGCTCGTAACGAATTCATCTTGTTCCCTGTCAGTTCCGTAGCGGGAAAGCCGGCCTTAAAAAGGACTTCCAGGACGATCGGTCTTATCAATCCTGACGTCCTTGCCCCTAAAACCCGGAATACGAGCCAGGAAGTCAAACTCTTCGTGACATTCATTCCCACGGGAATAAATCTCGAGCCCCTTCCCCCGGAAACGGGGATTTGTCGATTTCGACGTGAACTCGATCCTGGCCGGCCTTAAGAGAGCACCTCCTCCACCTTTTCCCGAAAAGCGCCAACTTTTCGCGGCGTCCATTTCCAGGGGAAACTCCTCAATTTCGGCCTCGACGCGCCTTTAATCGACCTTAAAAGCACTTCTTCCCTCTCGAATTTCTCTAATTTCCGGGGAATTGAATCCGCACCGGCGAAATTCCAGGAGAGGCCGCTCTGAATTATTTCTTCCTTTTTTCTTTCTGATCCCCTTCGTCGCGTTAATTTTAAGAAAAGAGTAAAATCCCGCAGGATTGGAGAATGTTCAATTTTTCGGTGGACTCCCCTTAAATTCTTGTAATGTCCTTAAAGCAAAATCTGACAATTGATCGGAAATCATTCTTGGATTCGGAAAGTATGAAACGAAGCTAAGAGATCTCTAAGTTAAATGAATATAATAAATGAATGTCCAATAAGAGTGTTAAAAACGAGATTAAGAAAATGAAACTAATAAATCTGTGGCATAAAGAAAAGCTTTGACGTAATTCTTAGTGTACGAGTAAACGTGGAAAAGGGAGGAAAGAAATGGCGAGGGTTTTCATTTTCGGCTCTTCATCGGCGAACGTCCCTCGGGACCTCCTTATCCCGGCGATCCTCGATCGCGTCCCTCGGGCAATCCTTGAAGAGATTTTCCGAGTGCCGGATGTATTTGTTCTTAGCTAACTTCCCGTCCTCGGCGGGAAATCCGACATCGAGCCTTTCGTCCCGGAGTACTTTTACCTCCACTTATTTTCTTTTTTTCTCCCTCCACGGATAAACGTGCTCTTTAATTACGCGAAACGTCGTTACGACGTTACCTCGAGGGAGTACAAACACCCCGGGTAGTTTTATTCCTCCCAGACTTTCCAGGAGTTTCAGGATACGAAGGACACTACGCAAAGATAAATCCCGCCGAAAATTAATCCAGACTTTGACTCGAGTCAATTTGAGTTATCTTAAGGCGAAGTGAAACACGGGAAGGAACTCGATCGACGTCGGTAAAAAAGATTTTTTTAAATACCTACGCAGGTGAGGTTGGTATTTATATTGACAGTGTCAAATTATATTGGATATTGCGCTAAGTGGCATATTAAATATGTCGTTTCCGTACAATAATTATGAAGAAATTGAAATGAAAATTGTCCTGACCCTTTCGTTTCTCACATGGGAGCCTTCAATAATTGTATATCGATCGAAATATGATATCTCGACGCCATTTTGGTCCTGCCTCAGGCTATTAATTTTATAATTTTATAATTTTCTTGAAAAATCCAAATGTTCAATGTGTCAGGACAATTTTTAATTGATCACGAGTCATGTGTAAAAGTGTTTCGGACAGTTTGGTCCGATTAAGAAAAAGTGATTTACGTGAGGAGGGCTCTTATTTTTTTTTCATTAATGAAACGCGCAACGCTTTTACTTCTAACGCACTTATTATTAGTACTTGGCAAGAAAATATGGGTTTGGGATTTTTTTAAAATATGGAGGAGGTCCCATAAAGTGTAAGATTTTTCCGCTCACGGTTTTTCTCTTTTCCGGACCCCATTATCTTCTTTTGCGCCGTCGTCGCGGTCGTAACGCGACATATCCCGTATCGGCGTACTTACTCCGGAGGTACGTACGTACGAAAAGCACCGAGAGCAATGTCTCGGCAGAGCTTAACTGCAAAGTGGCGGCGGATGGTCTCCTGGCCCAACTTGGGGAACTTTCCTAACGAGAGGCTGCCTTGGAACCTGCAAGCTCACCAGAGAGGACATACGTGCTTGCATTTACGTTGCGTCGAGTGCGCCGTACGTTAGGTGCGCACGTGCTGTTAACCAGGGAGTTACGTTCCTCGTGCCAGGTGCAGGGAGCACGCCTCCACCGGAAGGCGAATCCACCTCGACCTG